AAAGGAAAGACAAGTAAAAATGTAATAACAGTATTATGTTCTTGTACAGTATCCTATATGCAGATATTGTGGGTTTCACCCGATTAGCAAGTGATTGTTCTCCCAAAGAGCTGGTGGTGATGCTGAATGAACTCTTCGGCAAGTTTGATCAAATCGCAAAGGTGAGTAGCTTCCGGATATGTGAAACTTCCTGTCATTTCAATATTCCAGTTGCTAATTAAAATTTCCTACACAATTAATGGTCTGTTCCACCATTGTTTAGCTGTCAGTGTACATTACAGTGCTCTATCATTCTGATTAGATTAGATTAGGCCTCCTTCAGTCTCGAGAGACTATGGTAACATGCTCCGAATAGAGGACTTGGAACAGCATATATTGTGGCTGAGAAGGCCAATTCGAGAGTAACAGTCCCTTCCACACTGAAGACAAATACAATCTGTCCCCTGTCTAGTTCCCTGATTTGGCTGCTTTCATGACTTCCTCTTTGCCTCGGCCTGCTGAACAAGGGTCTCTTCAAATTGGGAGAGGCCATGATGCAATGCCTGCCTCCGGGCTGAACGCTCAGAGGTCAAGTTTTGCCATCTGTTGAGGTCCATTCCCAAGGCCCTCAGATCCCGCTGGCAGATCTCCTTGTATCGCAGCGCTCTATTGTTCTGATATCACATTAAAATGCTATCGAACTATGTAATTCTGTAGTGGAGCTACACACCTTGAAGCTGAGCGTCTGTAAGAAGGGCACCTGTGGGCTGATGTGCATACAAGCTAAATTCTGGTTTGGTCATGAGATTTAAGTTTGGGTTTGTGCTACAGAACCGCTTCCTGACTTCGTCATTTAGACCAACTGTCATTTGCCATTCATGTTGAAATGGGCAAGCAATGGGTTTGACCTTCAGGGGTAATGAAACCCATAATTCCTGCTAAGTTAGAAACTTTCAAATTGGAGCATTCACTTCTGATTTGGAGAGCAATTACAAACCATAGTTTGCTGATTGAGATAGAAGGGTAAAATGTGGCTTGACTATGACTTCTTGACTATGACTTCTTTTGACCTGTGTAATAAAGGAATATGCAACCCCCCCCCGAAAAAAAATCTGCCCAAACTCCTACGAAATATAAGATAAAAGAATTGGCTTAAGACAAGAGACTGCCTGAACATGTTGTTTCAGTATGAAATATTCTTTCATGTCTTTTCAGGGGAAAATTCCAGAAACGTTCCTTATATTAACCATGTGGGCTTGATATACGTGAATGTCTGTCTCTATTTATGGAAGGTGGTGTTTCGAGCCATTTCAAAGTCTAAAATTATAAATGCTAACGATTAGGGAATTATGGTCTAAAAGTGTTTTGTCACTAAACTATACCTCACTGAAGGCAAGGAAGTTACTCAGAAGTTAACGTAATTAAGTCTTGATGGATGTGATGGAAGTGAATCTCTAAATGTGCTGAAACACCTCATGTGCTAAAATAAGCATCTATGCATAATCCAGATGTTGAAGGTTTTGTCTCCTTTTCAATTTTTCCTCCCTGTTTTGCCTGTGAGTCTTACACATTGCTTGTTCAAACTTTGCAAAGATTAGACAGGAAAGACGAGAGTCATGAAATCTGTTCTGTATGTTTAACATGACTGAGAGCACATCATTAGAAACTAAAACTTATTAATGTTCTGGGGAAATGCTTCTGGCAGATCCTCATGATTATGTAGACATGCTTGTAGATATTTGAAGATGTAGCCTGTCCTTACCTCCCACTGACCAGTGACAAAGCAAAGCAAGCTCACATACAATCTTCTGGAGGGATGAAAACCTGCTGCTGTGGAATTTAGACATTTCCAGCGCTTAAGGAATTTCCACTTCTAACAACAAGCTGTCTGTAATATGTATTTCGATTCTTAGATTTAAGGATTCATCACTCCAGGAGTACCCAAAACGATGGGAGCTGACAGTTCTTCCATACAAAATTTATTTATTTATTTATTTAACTCATATGCCGCCCACTCTACCCAAAGGTCTCTGGGTGGCTTACAACAATTAAAATTCAATTAAAATACAATAAAAGATAAAATGATTAAAATACAATTAAAATTGCCATCAAGACCCACAGTTGATGTTATTTCAATTAAAAGCCTTCTGCCTCATGGTCACACCGAGCTTTTTTCCTCATGGGGGAACCTTCTAAAATTGCTGTTACAGAATAATTTGCCCATCTGGTATTAATCACCTGGAGATCTACTGGTAGATTTCATTTGTGTTCTGCCCACTAAGATATTAAGACACAGTTTGATTTTTTTTTTAAATATCTTGACCCATTTGTAATCTGTTGAACCTCACTATCATCTTAGAACTGCAGAGTTGGAAAGGGCCCTATAGATTATGGAGGCCCCATGCGGGAATCGAACTTCCAGCCTTTGACTCACGCCGCCAGATGCCTTAATTCACTGAGCTATCCAGCAGTTCTAGTCTTCCACTTTATACAAAATAGGAAACTTCTAGTAGGGAAAGATTGCGTGAACTCCTAACCCTTGTCCATCTTTTGGCGTATAAAGTCAAGACGTGCTATTCCAAGTTTTTCCTCAAAGAATCACTAATGAACTCATTGAGAGAGTTTTCTTTCCTCCTCTGTGGAATTCCTCAAAGCGCAGAGGGAAAACTGCTGCTTCAGGTAAATGTTAAGACAGCGGCGGATGTGTTTGTTCTGCTCAGTAAATCATGTAATTCCTGCTACTTAAGAGAGGTACCAACTAATTCATACCTACACAGTGTTTCCGATGACGCATGTGCTGTTTTTTTCTTTGTTTTGCAGGAAAATGAATGCATGCGGATTAAAATTTTGGGAGACTGTTATTACTGTGTCTCAGGCTTACCCGTGTCGTTGCCGGTGCATGCCAAGAACTGTGTGAAAATGGGCCTTGACATGTGTGAAGCTATAAAGTACGTACGGAAGAGGCTGTTCCGTGCACAGATTTATTGTTATTTCTTGTCATATCAAGTACAAATGTTTAAAAACACACTAAAACAGATTAAATCCACCAAAGTATCCCTCTAAAGAAAAGGACTGCTTTTAAAGAGAAATCAAAAGGCATTTTTGAAAGATGCAGTTGAGCAATTCAAGGAAGCAGCAAATCTTCACAGTCCAAACCCTTTTACTGATTTATTCATGCATGAGGGAAATCTTGTCGGTTTTCAGGGCAGATTGCTACAAGGTGCTGATTGCATTAAGCAACTCGCTAATGAGTGGCAATTTGCCACCAGGACGTGCACCGTTTGCCTGACAGGAGCATGAATTAGCCATCGGATCCTGGCTTGCAGAAAACCAAGAACCCATCATTTCAGCATCCAGCTAGGGATAGATTAAATCACGTTATTGTTTTATTTTCGTAGAGAAGAGCACGCCTGAGCATGTCTGCTTCCCTCGGGAATATGAACTTCTACAGCTTGAAGATGGGTTTCGAACTTTGTAAGGAAGGAGGCCTTATTAATTGGCCCAAAGGTGCCCCATGACATTGTACAGCATGAGGCCGAGGTTTCAATTTTGCCCCTCCAGATGTTCTGGACTTCATCTTCCAGAAAAGCTTGGCCAGCATGTAGGGAGTTGAAGTCCAAAACATCTGGAGATCCACAGTTGGAAAACGAAAGGGCTCACGGTATTCTCTATCCAGATTTCACCCCTCCTGTTATAATATACTTTCATCATCTCACTCCCTCTGCTTTTCGTTGCTTTCTTGAGTGTGGCGAAGGCTGTATCCCCTAGTTTATCTATTTGCCATGCTACAGCTAGGAAGAATCTAAACACCCACGCCAGTTGTGGGTGCAAAGATGGAAAAAGCTAGGTGCCCTGTTTATATTGGCCTTCTAAATTGTTTTGCAGACAAGTGAGAGAAGCCACAGGAGTCGATATTAATATGCGGGTCGGCATTCATTCCGGGAACGTGTTGTGCGGCGTGATCGGCCTTCGGAAGTGGCAGTACGACGTTTGGTCTCACGATGTCTCCTTAGCGAACCGAATGGAGTCTGCAGGCGTTCCTGGGTAAAGTCCATGGCTTCTGGTGTCCTGGTTTCCATTAGAGCATTCCATGAGATAATGCAGAACCACACTGTTTTTGATTATGAGCGCTGGCAGTAATGGAAACGGGGGGATCACACTGTTGACTGTCGCAAACCCTGCCATTGTCTGGATAGATTTTGTAGACCGGGTTCACATGTCCTATGACGTGGCTGGGGGCGATGGGGGGGGGGACTTGTGTGAGGCTTACGTCTTTTCAACCTCATCCCCTACAGCAATGAAAACGTGCTTGGCTCTTTTAATCCTATTGAGCTGCTAGCAAGCGGTGTATACGTAACCACAAATAGTGGAGAGGGTTCCTTTCCCAGACCCCTCTGTTTTGTGGTTCTGTTGCTCTTCCGTAGGTGGAAACAGCAAGCGTGGAAAGGAGTCGAATCTCCTCTTGCAAAATGTGTTGCTGGAAAAATTGGAAAGGTCTTTACTTGATAGCTCAGTGGTTGGGGGTTCAATTCACCAAAATGCCTCCCTGACAAGGATAATCCATAGGTTTCCTTCCAGCTCTGCAAAAGGTCTTTACTTGATAGCTCGGTGGTTGGGAGTTCAATTCGCCAATGTGCCTCCCTGACAAGGGGTGGTCTCAATAATCCATAGGTTTCCTTCCACCTCTGCAGTTCTAAGATTATGAACGGCTGGATAGCTCAGTGGTTTAGGCATCTGACTATGGAGCCAGAGGTTGGGGGGTTCAATTCCCCCCTGTGCCTCCCAGACAGGGGCTGGACTGGATGACCCATAAAGTCCCTTCCAGCCCTGCAGTTCTAAGATTGTCGTTGATGTTGATTGTTATCGGACATTTGTTTCCTGCAAAGGCTTCTTATGTGAATGAAGTATTTATTTAACCCATTTTTTAAAATCCTTTCTGGATTTTAACATGGGCCACGGCAATATGGGGAGAAGGTTTTTGCATGGCTAATGCTTTCTTGAAACCTGGCCTTGAGTAAATGTGTCTCCTTGCTGATAATGCTCACTGTTAGCTTCCCTGAAAATATGCACAGTACAGATTGTATCAATTAAATTGACTGGTTCACCAATTAAAGCCTTTAAACAAAGTATTGATAAATGATTTTAGATGAAAGTTAAGAATTGTGCTTTATTACCAACCACAACAGCAGCAGCCAGAGACCTAAACCACTGAATTATTCAGCAGTTACTCTGAAGTGGTTTACCATTCCCTTCTTCTGGGACTGCAGCTGGCCCAAGGCCACTCAGGCTGGCTCTAATTACAGGAGGCCCAGTGGGGGAATTGAACTCACAACGTCTGGCTTTACAGCCAGAGACCTAAACTGCTGGGTTATCCAGATTTTACCCGTACCATCTAAAGCAAAATTCTTAACCCCCCCCCTTCCAAATGCTCTTGTCTACTACATTCATTTCTGGACTCTCCTTTGGAGAACAGCTGTAACAGAGACTGTTACGGTTGGAATCACCTCTTACGGTTGGAATCAGCTAAGAGGCAATTCCAGCTTTTTTAAAAACTAAAACAAGCAGAGAATATATATATAACACATGTACACACATGTTTGGGAGCGTGGCGCATTGCAAGAGTTTGTTCTTCGGAAAGGTGCTTGGGATATTCGAGTGATGCTAGCCAGCTGAATAAACTCTTGGATGATTGTGTGTGGTATCACATATATAGAGAGATGTCACCCTTGAGAGCGTCCAGTCCATTTTAAGAGTTATTCAACAATGTGCTTGAAGGAAATAAGGGAGGGGAAAGTGTTTTCCTTATAAAATTTGGATTAATGTCGATAGCTTTCTTGGCCGATTCCCAACTTGTCCTTGAAAACCGGATGAGCTCTTGAAAAGTGTGTATAGTAAGAAGCTTCGGGGCTTTTGCTAATCTGTGTGTGGCAGCGTGCCTACGATTAGCATTCATTTGCATTAAATTCATCGGCTGCATGGGATACCACTATAGGGTGGCCGTCTCAGTGGCAAGGATATTACCGTGAAAACACACAGTGATTTTTGGACAAACCTAAAGTATCTGGAGAAAGGCAGATAGGTTTATTCTCCTTGAAGTTCAGGGGACTCTCAAGAGTCTCCTCCAGCACCACAATTCAAAAGCATCAATTCTTTGGCAGTCAGCCTTCTTTATGGTCCAGCTCTCACTTCCATACATCACTAATGTATGGAATACAGCACCTCATTAATGAAGTGCAATTAGCCACAGCAAAATATACCACCCTTATATGAGCAGCAATAAAAATATGGCCTCAGATGTGTCTCCCCCCCTGCATCCTCTAAGTCTCTCCATTTATATCAGAAGTAGGAAAATCCTGATGTTGTTTGACTTCATTTCCCAACATTGATAATGTTATTAACAAGAACTGATGCTCCAAAACAACCTTGGTCTTGTGGGTTTTTCAATTCTTTAAAGTCAGCACTCATTTTACTATGATAGTTCTGTTTTGCTGAGCTTTAATACTTGAATGTATTGTGTTTTTTAAAAGCTTTGTCTGCTTTTTAACTCTTTTCTTTGGAGTTGCCTTGGACCTTTGCGTTGGGAGAAATATGGGATAGAAACTGGGCGGATAAATGAACAAACCTGCGAGACCGGAGTCGGCTGGGAGTGTGGGCAGAACCGGGAAGTTAAAAGACATAATGGCTGGATAGACAGACATAAGCAAATAAGCGAAGGTGTTAACCAGCAATTATGCCAGAGACACATGGATTGGGTAGCCAAGTCCTTAAGCCAGTGAGAAGGGCAGACCCTGTCAACAACAGGCGTGGGCATAGTAATGAATCACTTAACAGTGACCTTTCTGTAAATGTTTAAGCCTTTTTCTAATTGTGTCTCTTTCCTGCCCTTTCCCCCTCCTTTTCCAGTCGTGTTCACATCACGGAAGCCACGCTCAATCACCTTGGAAAGGCTTACGAGGTGGAAGAAGGAAACGGGCATCTCCGAGACCCCTACCTGGAAGCCATGAATATCAAAACATACCTGGTGATTGATCCAAGGGTAGGTGTGCTTGTATCCAAAATTTCACACACCGTGTGAACGAACATTCACATACCGTATTTTTCGCTCCATAAGATGCACCTTTCCATAAGACGCACCAATTTTTTAGGAGAAGAAAACAGGAAAATATAATCTGTTTTCTTCGCTCCATAAGATGCACAGACTTTCCACCCCCCTAGTCCATCGGACTAGATAGGCGGGATATAAATTAAATAAATAAATAAATAAATATAAATTTTGTGGGGAAAAAGCACGTCTTATGGTGTGAAAAATATGGTATATATCTGTCCCGGGGTGGGGGCTCAAGTCACGGTCAAGTCGAATTGAAGTCCCCCCCCCGGTTGACTTGACTCCATGGGTTTCTTTCGTTAATTTTGGCCGCATCCTCCATGGATCATTTTATGTTGTGTTTTTTCTTGGGAGTATATTTGCTCCAAGTTTTTCTCTGCTGCTAAAGGAGCAGCATGAGAGATACAAATGCCTGGGATGCGAGGCTGCAAGCTGCAAGCCACAAAAACAGATGGACAGAAACAGTGTTTGTTGTGCAGACCAGGGCGGCGGGCGAGGTGGGAGGGCTTTATAGCTCTAGCAAGGCTAAAAAGTACGAGACAGTTGCCATGGGGCACGGATCTCTGAAACAATGGATTTCAGATTTTGGTCTCCAAGGAACACTTCAAGTATCCAGAAAGGGCTCTGTGTTCTTTAACGGTGTGTAATTAAAAGAATACGCTTTGAGCCGCCCACGTCCTGTCTTAAGTGCCGTTTCTCCTTGCATTCGGAGCAGAAGTGAATAGAAAAGAAAAGGTTCTTGAGATTGATCCAGTTTGCTCGGCTCGGCTTGCAAACGGAACGGCGTTTTGGTTTTCCAGTGATTTCTAAAGCTCAGGCAGAGAAGACCTGTTGGGTGCCCTGGCATCTCATTAAGCCTTAGAGATAGATCTGTGCTAAAATCAGTTTCTAAAAGACACCCTGGAGTGGAAGAGCAGTGGCCATTTCTCATTGTGTGGTGTACATGCATTGCGTGCAAAAAATTCCAGGTTTAATATTTAGCCATTTCTGTTTTGAAAGAGGAGGGAGCAGATCCACAAGAGAATTCTCTTTGTCTGAGGGCGAACATACCCATTTCAGGGGAAAGTATCTTGCATGCTCTTACATGGCAATCCATGTAAGCCACCTAGAGTGGTCCTCACCGACCAAATAGGCGGGGTATAAATTAAATAAATAATAAATAATAATAAATAATCCCCTCCAGCAATGTGATCTGCTTTGTTTTGCATCAGTTTGAAATTAGACACGCAGAGGAAGCAGATGTTTATATTCCTGGTGACACACGTGCTTTTTAAAATGACTTTCCACAATAAGACTTTTTTTGACACTTGAAGGAGCATTCCTTCTAGAAACAGCTTTCTCAGATCATGTTAATAAACAGCATGTAGACAGAATATGGAAATACTTTTTCTTACAGTAGTAGTGCGAAGGTGCAAGGGGCACTTCAGTGATTCCTAGATGGAGAAAAGCTTTTCAGCAAGGTAATTTATTCAGTACTATTACGTGTAAAGAAGAAAAGGAACAGCATTGTGGCACATTCCAGGCTTAATAAAGCAAAGTGTGTTGCTTATAATATCACCCTGTAGTGCTTAAAGCATCCTCTGAGCAGTTTACAATTTTAATTATGCAGGCAGCAGATTAATAAATTTATTTAATTGAGCAGACATGCTGAAATATATTTGTGAAGTCTAGATGATAGCAGAATGCCTTTGTTTTTGTGGCTGCTGAAATACACCAACATGTCTCATGTTTGCCACTGCAAAGGCTGGAGATACCTGATAATACCGTTTGCCATGGAAATGTGGATTTCAGAGCAGGCAACTGTAAAAAGAAAAAAACAACACTTTGAATTGTAGTTGCATCACAATTTCTTGGATTGAGAGGGTGAACAACAAGGAAGTGTTGAGTAGAATGACCAAGAACTTATAACACTCATAATGTGTAGAAAGCTAGAATACTTTACTGCTGATAATGTGAAGCTAAAAGTGCGGTTTGTCACAGCTGATTATGTAGTGTAGAATAAATGAGGAAGGAAGGAAGGAGCTGATGATGGATGGATGGATGGAAGGAAGGAAGGAAGGAAGGAAGGAGATGATGATGGATAGAAGGAAGGAAGGAGGTAATGAGGGATGGAAGGAAGGAGGTGATGATGGATGGATGGATGGATGGATGGAAGGAAGGAAGGAAGGAGATGATGATGGATAGAAGGAAGGAAGGAGCTAATGATGGATAGAAGGAAGGAGATGATGATGGATAGAAGGAAGAAAGGAAGGAGCTGATGATGGATGAAAGGAAGGAAGGAGCTGATGATGGATGGATGGATGGATGGATGGATGGATGGAAGGAAGGAAGGAAGGACGAACGGACGGACGGACGGACGGACGGACGGACAGAAGGACGGACGGACGGACGGACAACATAGTGGCTGGAGAACTTACATCACAACTTACTCTTTAGAATTGCCACATCCAAAGTCAGTATAGCTATAAAAAAACTTGAATCTCTGGTAGAATCAAGACAGCAGACAACTCCAGTCTAGATAGGCCAAAACCTATGGTCAGGATTGATCCAAACATCAGAGTAAGTGGAGGTTCAGGATCCTGCTTTACAAGGACTGCGGAGCATTCTGGTGCCCCCTCGTCTTTGTAACCAGAGAGCAGATAAGCCCCGTATCAGGTGCTGGACAAGAGATGAGGTGGAATCCAGAACGTCTGAAACTATTGCTGTCGTGCCAAAAAGACCACAGGCAGGTCATCCGTGGTTGGACACGTGTCACGCCTGTAGGAAAAGACAGGGAATGAGGTAGTGCGAGTTCTTCTGAATACTTATTACAAAAGCACGGCATCTTCTGATGGCAATGCGTGGCCGTGGCTGAGGATCCGTGGGCTCAACGGTCCTTTGGTACAATCTGCTAATGGGGCTGTGGGTTCCACAGAGTGTTCTTTCCAACCGGCGTGTTTTGTCCTGTTTCCAGTCCAAGCAGCGCACCTCCAACCATCACGTCCCCCAAACGAGAGTGCAGGACGGTTTGAAGATGAGGGCCTCCGTCCGGATGTCACGCTATTTGGAGTCCTGGGGGGCCGCCCGGCCTTTCTCGCACCTCAACCACCGAGAGAGCGTCAGCAGCGAGACCTCCGCACCCAACAGGAGGCGTAGAAAGGTGCCGCTTTTATGCCTTTTTAAATATATATATATATACATTCGCTCCATGAACAGAGCCCGTGAACAGGTCTCTTCGCACTTTGGATTCTCTTCCCAAACACGGCCTGAGGGTCGGTCCTGTTGAGAGAGCCACCCAACCCAAAGACGTGGGTCTTGTGAAACAGGGACCAAATGGGGTTTTTTTTGTGTGTGTGCGAGAAGCCAGAGGTAATAGGAATTTGGAAAAGCGAAAGGGATCAAAGCGCTGATATCCGTCCGTAGAAAAGGCGCTCCTTCCTTGTGGTTCCCATTGGCTTGGATGTGTTCTTCTTGGCCGTCTCTTTGGCTCCTCTTAAAGGAGAAAGGCCGGGGGGGAAATATTTTCAATAAATAAATGAAATAAATTCATCTCTGCTTTTTAAAAAATGTCACGCAGAATTACCTATATGGCCCAACTTACTGAATTCAGCCATTCAATTCACATGTTTAAAAAAAAAAGGGGGGGAAACCTTACATTTTCTCTCACAACCTTTTCTCTCGCTTAGGAAACAGCCCTGCAGCTTGCAAATCGCCAAAGGACTTCAGAAAGGTAGGTTGTACATTGCTGCTTTCCCCTTTGATCCTGTTTTTTTTTAAAAAGTATTATATATACACTGCCTTTTGTTTTGCTTTTGCAAGCAACAAACTGATAAATTCCAAAACACGATAAAAAGGACAAGGAAGAGAAACATGTTTTTCATGATAAGAATAATAAACAGCCTTCCACGGTAGTTGGAACCGGAGGCTTAAAACGTCTCTGTTTAACACTTTCCAATTTAAAACAGGATCTGAGTTTGGTGAGGAAAATTGTAACCAGTGATGAACAGTCTCTGTTGAGAAAATATTTGGGTGTAGAATTATGTAAGCAAAATATGGAAAGAAAGTATTTCAAATTCTTAAACATCAGTTTCAGATGTTGAGGGAGGCTGTGTATCTCTGTGACCTTTCTTCCGCGGTTTGCATTCTTAATTGCAAATATCTAATGAACAACAAAACTTGCATAGAGGAACCAATGACAGACATTGTGGTAGTTGAATCCCCGGAAGTAATTTTTACCATTTTCGAATTATTTCCTTCAACATGTTTTTCGTACTCTCTGCTGTTTGCTCCTCACCTTAAGGAGAATAAACACACACCCCTCTCTTTTTTCAGTCTACCTGTGTGCATGCTCAGGGGTGCCCTGTATCTCTTCCACGCTTTTCTTAAATTTTCACAGTTTTATCTTAGCTTTCCCTCTGCAAGGCTTCCGTGTAAGGAGCTCCCTGACAGCTAACGGCCTTTTAATCCTTCTCTGCTTATGGACCAATCTCTGCTTTCGTGTCTAACTTGTCGTTTGATCCAGAGCTGATGTTGCTTTTTTAAAAGTTAGGCATGCTGTTTTAAAATAAGGAAACCAGCGCAATAGAACCTCCAAGTCCAGTGGCAGTGTACCATGAAGAACTTGGTGCCGTGGACAGATAAAAGAGGAAAACATCGAAGTCTCTGTGGCATGTGTCCAGCTGGTTCATTGCTGCAGACAAAATACTGGACTTCATGGTTCCTGGAGATTTTCATTTCCATAGGCATTTTGTGTCAGATGAGAGATAGGGATGAGGAGGGAATGGATGGGTTTGGTGTGTGCTTTTTGCAAAAAGCCCATACTGCTTTGCTCTGTTATTACTACTTTATTTTTTTTTAACTTTGTTTTATTATCTTGCACCTTTCCTCCAAGGAGGAGCTCAAGGTGGTGCATGCACACCACGGGCCGGTCGGATCGGCCCGTTTGAGTGTGCCCGGCCCACGGTCGCCCAGGGAGTTTTAGTCTGGGTGAGCAGCCTGTAAATCAAAGTCGTGTCCAGAACACGAGAGAGACCTGAGATTCTGGGTCAAACATTTCTGTAGATAACCAAAATATTTGTACCACTTGTTTCTGCCCCAGGGAAGGTAAAGCAAAGCAGAAAATCAAAGAGGTATGCTTAGATACTGCCCCATAGCGCTTAAAGCACCCTTTGGGCAGTTACACAGTGGTGCCCCGCATGACAATTACCTCGTTAGACAAGGAAATCGGTTAATGATGAGTATTTTGCGATTGCTATAGCGATCACAAAATGATGTTTGTATGGGGTTTTTTTGTTTAATGACGATCGGTTCCCTGCTTTGGGAACTGATTTTTTGCTTAATGACGATCAAAACAGCTGATCGTCAGGTTTTCAAAATGGCTCCCCACTGTGTTTTAGGACGGATTCCTCGCTATACAGGCACCAGAAAATGGCTGCCCTATGGAGGATCTTTGCTGGACACAGGGATTTCGCCCATTGGGATGCATTGAACCGGTTTTCAATGCACTTCAATGTTTTTTTTTACTTTTGCTTGACAACGATTTCATTCTACAGCGATTTTGCTGGAACAGATTATCCTTGTCAAGCGAGGCACCACTGTAATTTAATTATGCAGCCTACACATTGCCTGCCCATCCCCAGCAACCTTGGAGGGCACAGTAAACCTCAAGGCAGTTACTTGACCTCGGCCGGATCAAGCTCCGAGGGATCACTGCAGTTTAACCACTGCATCATGCGCTAGCAATGATACTTCATGCTCATTAGTTATTTTTTCTTTAGGAGCACTTTTCATCTCAATACACATTTTCCAAATAACCAGTTCTATAATATAATAACATTCTCATAGATTCTTTCATAATTAGTTCAAGGTTTTCAGGTATTTTTAATAAGGAATGCAGGGTTTTTTTTTGTTAAAAAAACCCCCAAACAACAGAATTTGTGAAACCCTTCTGAAAAAAAAGAGAGACTGTGATCGTGTTGATATTTGGTTGCTGCGGATTGATGCTCTCCAGCTGCTGTACAGTATCACGCATCTCTCTCTCTCCCCTCTTTCTCTTTCCTTCTGTTAGCCTGGATGGACCTAGACATGAATGTGCATGTCCTCCTTCCGTTGTAAACCAGAAGTGAGTTCTTATTTTCTCTTTCTGCATCCTTTTCTGCCTGTGCCATCAGAGAGCCATGGGACCCTTCCTTGCTGGCTTCGTTTTTTATCTTCATCTATCTCCCCCCTTTTAAAAAATGAAATAATACCTGTCGTGTATACCTTTCCTAGTAGGTAGATATCCACGGTCTGTTCTTTTTTTCATTTTCTCACAAGCGTGCTCACGTCTCCCTTGGTTCATAAATGTTTTCATTTGGAAACGCATCTTGCCAAATCAGACAGGGAGCAAACCCCGACCCACGTGGGTGGGATTCCTGCCAGTTGAGCAGCCCTGGAGTCTGTAACCACTAGGAATGCTCACTCCTCACTGCGCCAAAGCATTTAATGTAAGAGCTGGGCATCAAATAAACCAGACACAATTTGGGGGCTGCCAACTCCCTCGGCGACTAACAAATGGAAGACTTTTTCATGGAGGGTGGGAAGGAAACAGGGCAGGTAGACTTAGCCATTTCTTTCTGCCATGATGTAAGGATTATTATTATTTCTCCTTTTTTCAACTACAATGCTCCAAATCCCCTTCAGATAGTAACTCCACTGCTTGAAAGATTCTGGGAATTAACTATTTTCTTACTGCTTGGTGCAAGGATGGGTTTCCTCCCCTTCTAACAGTTTAATATCAAGTTTTGTAGACGCCGGAGGTTTTGGAAGACGAGCAATCTTACACTCAAATCATTATGTAGTCCCATTAAAAGCAATCCCAGGTTGAGATGGCCGCTTGCAGTGGGTGTGTTTCTGGCTGAAATCCAGTTGCAGCTGGAGTAGACCCATTGAATCAGTGGAACGTCTTGAGGAGTTGACTTTTCATGCTGGTTCAATGGGCCTTCTGGACGTTGGCCGCTCTTTGGTTGAAGTAAGCACACTGCGTTTATGTCTAAATAATACTTTGAATATTTTGGGTTCACATCTTAACCATCCTTCCTTTTTTTTTAGTTGGTTGGAATAAATTTTACACTTTTGTTTTTATAAAATGACATTAAGTGTTAAATCCTAGCTAGGCAATGAACGGTTCTATTCTGTGTGGCATTTTCAGAGTGCTTCATTTTTATAATAGATCTTTTTTCCCCCCCTTTCTGTTCTTAGAAATATGTCTCAGAAAGGAAGGATAGAAGAAGACATTCACGACAAAATGCTGTCCACCATTGAGAACCTTAGTTCAGCCAAGTAACTAGACCTCTTTATATTACTACTTTTAAGAAAATGTACTTGCTTCGCCCTGCAGAAAGGAGGGGTGGGCAGAGGAGAATGAAACAAGAAGTCGTCTTGTATATTCTCTGTCATATGATGGTGAAAACTGGCACAGAAGCTTCACCCCATCATTTAGATTAATGTGTGTGTGTGCGCATGTGTGTATGCCCGTTATGTGTTGTCAAGTCACAGTGCTCTACTTTCAACAGCCCTGCTCAGCTCTTACAAATCCTAAGACCGTGGCTTCCTTTTATAGGATTAATCCATCTCAAATTGGGTCTTCCCCTTTTCCCGTTGCCTTCAACTTTTCCCAGCATTACTGTCTTTCCCCCACGAGTCTTGCCTTTGGATGTTGTGTCCCTCCCGTTCTGTTATGTGTTGTCAAGTCACAGTGCTCTACTTTCAACAGCCCTGCTCAGCTCTTACAAATCCTAAGACCGTGGCTTCCTTTTATAGGATTAATCCATCTCAAATTGGGTCTTCCCCTTTTCCCGTTGCCTTCAACTTTTCCCAGCATTACTGTCTTTCCCCCACGAGTCTTGCCTTTGGATGTTGTGTCCCTCCCGTTGTCATGGATACCCTACCCATGTGTTATTAAATCACATGCACGTTGGACACAAGGAACAAGACCCCCCAGGGAGGGAGGAAGCCAAAACGACAGGTCACCTCGAGGCAGCAGGAAGACGAGAGAGGTCCTCTCTGACACGGTGAAGTATGGCAGGCCCTTAAAAGCACTTTGTGAAAGCAGGAAAACAAATGCACTCAGGGGTCTGAATCTTATCTTCCGCTTAATGGAGGAGAAGGCAAGGAAAAACTGGGTTCATGTAGTGGCTGCACGTTGACTGTCTTGGAGGATGACAGAGAACACTTAAGAAATAACTAGTTTCTGACAAACCGCACAGTGCCGTTCCATCAAGCACAGTGATACCTATTTTTAAGTTTATTTCAAATATCCTTCATCCTGTTATGAAACGAAGCACAAAAACCGGATCATTTATACAGTACCCTAATGAAATAATATAAATGACAGAGAAATTGGATTGAGGTTGCAAGCTTGCTCCTATTTATTTAATTTAAATTTGTTCTTTATGTATTTTTCATCGGTAATGAACTCATTATCGGACTGTTCTGTACCTGCACCATCTTTCTAGGTTGCAATTCAGTCTTGTGTTGCCTTCCCTTTGCAGTTCCATCTCGTGCTATAGATTATTAGATCTCCATCCTCTCTCTCTCTCTCTCTCTCTCTCTGTGTGTGTAACGTTTTTCCCCCTTCTTCTTTAATGCAGGCCATGGTGCAGTGAGACAGACGACTTCCATGGGCCATGTGGGTTTTTTGTTGACATGGGACTTGAAACGTTTTTTCCCCCTTCTTTAATTCAGGCCATGGTGCAGTGAGACAGATGACTTCCATGGGCCGTGTGGGTTTTTTGTTGACATGGGACTTGAAAAAGAGGTTGGTGAAAGATGTTTTTTAAAAAACATTTTAAATCCAAAAAGACCATGCTATTCAAAGCTTGCACCTTTGCAAGGAAAGCGAATTCCAGTTCTTCTGAAAGGTAACGTAGACTCTTCTGGTTTACGGCTTGTCGTTTCTTGGCTGCCCGTAGGGGGGGCCTTCAGAATATATGATCTGCTTAACAGAATGGGAAAGGAATATGATCCTTGCTAGGAGCAAGTAAGGGCTTTATCTGTTGCACCTCACTTCCTCTTCTTGACATTAAAAGGTTTTTACGAATCGCTTTCGATTTAGTCAGTGTCTTTCTCTGAAAAGTCTTCTTTGGCCTATGCTTTGTGGACAGCACAAAAGCGATACAAGCTTTTTATTTCTTTAATTTTATTTTTATTGCAAATAAAACAGCCTCGTCTTTAAAGATCCGTAAGGGCTTCTTTTTTGCTGCAGAAGACGGGCGGAGCTTCTCCACCACACAGATTTGTTTCTCAGAAAGCTCGTCTTTATGAGTCAACCGACCTGTTCTCTTCACTAAGTTTTCTCTTTCTGTATTATTTTCCACCCCCAGTACCGCACAATCCCTATTCCCAAACTGAGGGGCTATTTCGTCTGTGCCAGCATTGTCCTGGTGTGTATGTTTGCGGTGCAGATATGCGTCATGCCAACGTAAGTGTCTTTATTTTCTTTCTCCTTTAAAGGTTGTGGCTCACGAGTCCTTTTTCTGTAGACCATAGTTCCCAACCTTGGAAAATCCCAGCCAGCACAGCGAGTGGGGAAGGCTTCTGGGAGTTGTAGTCCAAGAACATCCAGGGGGACCCAAGGTTGGAGACCACCGGTCTAGACATTGAGCTATTTGTGTGTTTACGTGCTCAGTGCCACATGGTCTCCCACCTCCTGCTTCCCAATCCCCTTTTCTCTTTCAGAACATCAAAACTAGGAATTTCATTTGGATCCCAGCCAGGACAGCGAGTGGGGAAGGCTTCTGGGAGTTGTAGTCCAAGAACATCCAGGGGGACCCAAGGTTGGAGACCACCGGTCTAGACATTGAGCTATTTGTGTGTTTACGTGCTCAGTGCCACATGGTCTCCCACCTCCTGCTTCCCAATCCCCTTTTCTCTTTCAGAACATCAAAACTAGGAATTTCATTTGGGGTCGTCGCTGTCATCATGGGGCTTATTTTATGCGTATGTTTTGCAGATGACTGCTGGGTAAGTTTTTAAAAAATCGGGAGACGGGAATAAGGTGGCTGCCAACCAACAGTTTGAAAACATGTAAAAATGCAAGTAGATAAATAGGTATCACCACGGTGGGAAGGCAATGGCGTTCTGTGTCTAGTCATGCTCGCCATGCAAACTGTCTATGGACCAACGCTGGCTCTACAGTCATGCTCGCCATGGAAACTGTCTATGGACCAACGCTGTCTCTACGGCTTGGAGACAGGGATGAGCACCGTGCCCTAGAGTCGGACACGACTGAACTAACTGTCAAGGGGAACCTTTACCATTTAAAAAGAAGCATGCTTTTATAGCACAACTGGACTGTCAAGGGGAAGCTTACCATTTAAAAAGAAGCATGCTTTTATATGCTCAACATTTATCTTGATTTTGAATTCAAAAATATGCCTTGCTTGATTTCCATTGGACATTGCTTTCATGGCATAATTAATTAATTAATCCTATAACACCGCCCCACAGTGCACAGACCCTTGAGGCAGTTCACAACACATTAAAAATATTAGAACAAATGAAACCTAGCAATAAATAGCTGGCGTATGGGTGTGGAGACGTTGCAATGAAAGTGGTTTTGGAAAGCCAGTGTGTTTTATGTGTCTTGCTGAGACGTCTGCCTTTTCTTTTCAGAAGTGTTGTTCCAAGCGATGGCCCCTGGCTCGTTACCTTCGCACGTTTTCCCAGAAAGTTGAGACGCTGCCCTCTGTGAGGCTCCCATTGGCCACCCTTGCACTGGGCTCCCTGCTAATCATCGCCATTTTTAACTTGGTAAATTCTTTGTCTGATTCTTTTCATGGGGGAGGACACAATGACACGACAAAATAAGCCATGGGGCTGCTTCTCACACTGCGGTTCCATCCAGCGAACATTGTCGGTGGGCTGACCTTGTTTTCATAGGCGTTGGAGTTCCTAGGCGTGACAAAATAAGCCATGGGGCTGCTCGTCACACTGCGGTTCCATCCAACGAACATTGTCGGTGGGCTGATATTTGTTTTCATAGGCGTTGGAGTTCCTAGGCGTATGTGCGAACTCATCCAAAGAAAAAAGAGGTTGAGAAACACCTTCATTTAATAATGAAGTTATTAAAAGCTAAAGTGAGGACAAAGTCGCACCTCTGGGAAGCACAATTTCTACTTAGCCTTTAAAATGAAATTTCAGAAGGCGCTGGGCTGCCCGTTTCAAGGGCCTTTGGGGAAAAATACTTCCTCTTTTCATGCCATCCCCTGGTGAGCCATGTTTTTAAATTATGCACTGCAGCAGTGGGTGGATTACAAATACCTAAGTTACTTTTCCAACCTTGCAGCTAGCTGGTCATCTCCACAATGCTTTGTAATCACTACAATGAATTTTGGAGCTAGTTGGGTTTTTTTATTTTGAAGGAACTTTCCGAACTCTGCTTCTAGGAAAAAATGCATCCACTCTTTGCAAGGGCGACATCCAGTGACAACAACAAATGTCTTCTGGTGTTCCTTACCAACATTTGCCCCTGTGGCTGCTTTTTTAGTATGGCCCAACAAGGGTAAACTGAAATTTTGCAGCCCCTGCCGCTTGTTGAATTTGGGGAGAAATAGCGGCTGCAGCTTTTTAACCCAATTTCATGGACCCAATAGTTCTGCTCACCAGAGCAACCAACACACGCGGCCATTATTAGAGGGTGTGTTGGTGAGAAGCAGCGTAGTTTGGAACTGACAGCTGTGTCTTTTAAAAACCTTGTTTTATTACATGCTACACTTGTTATTCAGTTGCTCGGAATTTCTCAGCCTCTTCTGCCCCCACACCTGTTTTACAGCGAATATCCATATATTTTGGGTCTTTGCAGTATGTACGGGTATTTGAATGCCCATCTGCTTATTCCCTAAACTGGCTTTTAATGTTTTCAATAGCCCACAAACCAGCCCAGCGGAAACTGTAGCACACTGTTCACTGGCCCGGTGAGTAAAAAAACCAATTGCATTTGCTAGACTAATAGCTTTGGTTTCATAGTGGAGCTTCGCAGTTTTTCAGACTCTTTATCTCTTGCTGAAAATAACTGCATAATGGCTTGATTGTTCGTTTTGCTGACTCCCCCCCCCCACTATTTAGCTCCCTCTTCTTTCTCTGTTATGGGGGCACTGGGGCTTAAAAGTCAACCATTTTCACAATTGTTTATCCTGGGGGGGGAAAACGTGAATGAGCCTTGACCCTCCCTCCCGCTCTTCAAGGTCCAAACCCAAGTGTTTGGACCCATAATGTTCGGTTCCATAATCAAGCCAGATCTTGGCAGGTCTATTCCCCCCCCCCGGCCTTTCTCTTTAATACGTTTAATATATCTCCGTCATACCCAAATGTTAACATTGGGGGAGTTTATTTGTTGCTTTTGAAGGTAAAGCCAACAGGGCTAAAAGGAGGATGAAATAATTAATAGATTTACCTCCTGAGAGATGATTTGAAAGAGGTACCCCTTCTTCATCTTTGCCATAGTAAATCACCAGATATTACAGCTTGTTTTGCTCTTGTGGCACGATGGTTAAAGTGCAGCACTGCAGCCGAAACTCTGCTCATGACCCAGGTTAAATCAGCCTTCCGTCCTTCGGAGGTTGGTAAATTTGAGTGCCTAGCTTCTGGTGTGTATGCATTTAAATCAGCCTTCCATCTTTCGGAGGTTGGTAAATTGAGTGCCTAGCTTCTGGTGTGTATGCATGCATGCATGCACACAAAATTAGCTTTTGAAAGCTAATTTTGAATTTAGCTTTCAAAATTAAATTGCAAACTGGTTGGCGACTGCTTCAAGTGCTGTGGGGCAGCCTATAAGCAGTACCCTTTGCTTTGTACGTCAGTCACCAGTGACTCCAGGTAATGTTTGTTTACTTCTCTCCCCACCCAATGAAACAGCTGGCAGGAAATGACTCTTCTGGAAACAAGGACGAGACATTGAGTAGACTGGCTGTGACCTGTTCTGTGAGTAAATCTGGACCCAGCATTTCCGAAATAAGACTTATGTCAATTTCGTGTTCGTTCTCCCAGTCCTTAGCTTGTCCCCTTGTTTTTGCATCGGTTTGAAACAATCCGCCCCGCCCCCCCGGGAACGCGTCGCCTCTCAGAACAGCTGCCTAGGTACCCTCAACCACAGTTTTGTGGAACGCTATTGAACATATATACTGTTTAGAAAGAAACTTGTTCTTGCTATCTCGTCATTGAATGTTGTGCGAACTTTTCTGTTGCAGTACTATACCTACTGCTGCCTCCTGGGTTTTATCGCCTGCTCTGTATTCCTTCGAATGAGCTTCGAATTCAAGTTCATGCTTCTGTCAGGAGCTGTCGTTGGGTATTTCATCATATTTAACACCAGCCCAGTTTTGAGTCCCGGCCACTGCAGCATCCACAATTCAACCATAAGGTACCGTTAATCTTGTTTCCCTGGTTCTGTAAACTTGAGGATATACTTCCTGTAATGGTAGGCGGCAGTGTCGGAAGTGGTCTACTTCTCACAAAATCAAACCAAAACCCTTCTGTATCTTGTCTATCAACAGCAAGCATGTATATTTGGAAGGACTTACCCATCTACTGTTGTTCTGCTTTCCTTTCAGTTTTTTTATGAAAGATTCGACAATAATGACAAACTTATACCTGGCTCTGTTTTATATAACCCTTGTTCTGCTGTCAAAACAGGTATGGATCCCAACATTGTTTTGTCTGTGGCATATCTCGTGGTTTCTGAACAGTTCTTTGGTTTGTCTGAGATGTTAACATTCACATTTTAAATGGAATTCATGAATCTTTTTCTTTCATACAATCCCATCATTCTTTTCCAGAGCTTGGAAGTACAGTGGTGCCTCGCTTAACGAGTGCACTGTATAGCGATGTTTCCGTATAGCGATCCCTTTTTCGGGATCGCTATACGGAAACATACCCGATCTTCGCAATGGGGAAAACCCGCATTGCGAAGATCGGGTATTCTCCAGAGCTTGGAGGTAACTAGAAGTGAGTTAGCAGCCCAGTGTTGCCTCTTGTTGAGAAAATATTTGACTCAAAAGAATGTATTTCCTTTCACAGCGGACACTCAATAGATTCTCTCCACCTCATCCATTTTTGGCCTTTTTTTCTATGTAAAATTTAGCATAGGGAAACTTAATTTTGCAGGCGGCTATTTCAGGACTCTACCTTATTTTGTAAAGACCTCCAGGTTGGCTGGGATGTTTATGTTACAGTATTGTCAACACTGGTTGAAAACCTGCAATCAGTGTTGATAATGTTATTGTCTTTGTCTGTATCCGCTTTCATTCTGTCCCACCCTTACTACTTAAGACCAGTGGCCCTACAAGGCTGTGGCCCATAATAACACATGTTGGCTTCAAAGGTGCCACAAGTTCTACTGAGTTTTGTTCCAACTATCTCCTTGGAAAGAATGACGAAAGGAACTTGCATTGAATTTCCCTCTCTGATGTATTCTGTGTACAACAGCATGGAAAATGTTCTATTTGTGGATGATAGTGTGGATATATTTTATGACTCCTTTCCTTGGTTGCAGATAGACTATTACTGTCGGCTGGACTGCCTACAAAAGAGTAAGTTTAAGAAAGAACACGAGTCATTTGAGACCATGGAGAACGTCAACAGACTGTTGCTGGAAAACGTCCTTCCGGCACATGTTGCTGCCCATTTTATTGGGGACAACAAATTAAACGAGGTACAGAATAACAACATGCGGATGATTATGCACGTTGTTGACCTGAAGGTATTCAGACAGCTGCTGTTCTCTAGGAGAACTTGTTCCCCCAACTTGGTGTGTTGGAAAGCAAGATGAAAGTCTAGCCTACCCTACCTAACTTTATTCTGTGCTGACTTTCTCCCAATTACGGGATCGAAGACCACTCCCAAATTATTCAAAGACCAAGCCAGTTCAAAGTAGTCTAGCCTACCCTACCTCACTTTATTTCTGTGCTGACTTTCTCCCAATTATGGGATCGAAGACAGCTCCCAAATTATTCAAAGACCAAGCCAGTTAAAAACACAATAAACTATGACATTAAAAAGAATTAAACCTATAGAAGTATTAAAATAATTTGTTAAAATGCTTTTTTAAAAAAAAATGCCTGTAAAGCATTTATTAACAGCAAAACAGATTTTCCCAAACTGTGGATTGTAATGCAGCTGAAGCAGGACCTTCCTCATCCGTATGGGAAGAACTGGCCAGCTTTGTCAAGCCTGTATTTGGGGAGGAGAAACTGGACACAAATCTATGGAATCAGAGCATGCTCCATGGACGCAGGATGCTGTCTATTGTGCAGCGGAGTTGTGAGGGGTGGAAGGGGAGAAAAGAGGATGAAATGGATGATCGTGAAAGAAGAGATGGCAGGCTGGGATGCTCTACAAGGCCCCCCTTTTTTTGCAGGTCTAATTCATACAGCCCTCAGAAGGTTTTTTTTTCTGATTGAAGCCCTTTTCTCAAAGATGTCCACTTGAACAAAGCACTCTGAACACAGAGCCCCTTTGTGCGTCAGTATGTTTTTTCTGCTTCACAAGGGGTGTTTCTTGGGTGGTTTGCTAAGGTGAAAAACACCAGTGGGGCCTGGGGCACATGTTCAGTTTGTTTCCACCTTTCTCGCAGGATTGGTATCACCAGTCCCATGACTGTGTCTGTGTCATGTTCGCCTCCGTCCCCGACTTCAAGGTGTTCTACACGGAGTGTGACGTGAACAAAGAAGGGCTGGAGTGTCTTCGGCTCCTCAATGAAATCATTGCTGATTTTGATGAGGTATTTCTTGACTGGCTTTGGCTTCTGTTGCCTCCTTGATGTTGGGTGTTGGTCTTTTCCCCTCACCTCCTTTGAGAATCCAGAAACAAGTCTTATTCATTGCTTCAGTCCACAGGTTCCATCTACTGAAGGAGCCTCTTCTTGATAGAGAACAGAACATGGAAGGAACTAGTTACAAACCATGTTACTTTTAATGAATTTCTCTTCTATAACTAAGGCATAACTGGGTTATACTGTATTAAGATTACCGTATAATAAGAAATGTTCTATTACAGTGTAGTTTTAACTGTTACTACTTTAGGGTGTTCTGTACGTACATTAAGCCATAGGCCTGTAGCATTCTAATATTGATTTTAAAAAGTAACCAAAACAATTAGCTCAGTTACTTTTGAATAACAAGTCAATGTTACTTTAAAAAAGGAAACTGTAACAATAATTATGTGCGCAATCTGACATAATGGAAAAAAAGTAACATGTAATGTATTGGAAAACAGACACAACCTCTGTTTGTGTGACATACTTTGAGGTCTTTGCAAATATAGTGGGAAATCAGCCTGGAATGTTTATAGAGTGCTCTTTCCATGTGTTGTTTTGTTCCCACTAATAAATCAGGCCTCTGATAGAATTGTAAAGAATCAACAAGTTTGCGCGTATTAATTTCCTCCCTTTTCCAAACAGTTGCTGCTGAAGCCTAAATTCAGTGGTGTTGAGAAAATCAAAACCATTGGGAGCACATACATGGCCGCATCAGGGCTCTGTGTGACACATGGCCAAGAGAATAACGTGGTAAGCCATTTATCGTAAACACCAGACCACTGGAATTTGTTTTCTGTGTGTGAGAAAGACAGAGGAAAAATAGTGCCCCTTAAATGCACATGCCAGCCTCAACTTCTCTGTCCGTTTCCTGTGGTTCTGCAGGGATGCATGAGAAAGGCAGCTAGTATTTTTCTAGTTGCCCACTGCAAGGGTCATCTTAACATGTTCTCTTTCATTACCTTTTCGGATCAGGAGAGGCAGCATGCTCAAATCGGCATCATGGTGGAATTCGCGATGGCCTTGATGACCAAACTTGATGGCATCAACAGGCATTCCTTCAATAATTTCCGGCTCCGAGTTGGTATGTTGCTCCCTGCTTCCCAAGGCTAATTTTGGCTTTCTTTTGAGGCTGTATAGCTTTTTTTTTTCCTTTTGCCTGTGTAGGCATTTGCAACATCTTTGTAAGAATGGATCCATTCCTTGTGTTAACTTTGCTGGCTGTCTAGCCTAGGCACCTTCGTTTGCAATGCTTTCATTACTGTATGGTGACCTCTTGTGGATGAGGAAGCAATGAATAAACAGCTAAACATAAAACTGAAATGCAGCGATGCATCTGTATTCCTTTTGTGTTCAGATCCATCCCTATTGAAATCTGGACAAAAACTGGGAATGATTTTGTTACAGCTCTGCCTGAATCTCCTTATTTATATCTTCCCATCCGTAACTCAATTGAATTGACTTAAATCCACTTGCTGGTCTCAAGCAGAATAGAGCCACTAAATTAAGTTTGGCCTCACCTTGTTCATGCAGGTATAAACCACGGGCCTGTGGTTGCTGGTGTGATTGGTGCTCGCAAACCTCAATATGACATTTGGGGGAACACGGTCAATGTGGCCAGCCGAATGGAGAGTACTGGAGAACTTGGGAAAATCCAGGTAATTGAAAGAATTTTTAAAATCTCTCTTTAGAAAAAAACAACAACCTGTTGTGATGGAGATTTCTCTGCTGCAGTCCAGTGTCTCCTCTTTGTTAACGCTGTCTTGCAGGTTCCCTTACAATCAAAGGTGAAGGGCCTTCTCTGTTGAGGGTCTCCTTGGCTGTTGAACCCCAAATCCAGATAGTTCATTGTTTTCAGATAAAGTGCAACTTTTTAATCAGAAATGATTGGATTGGAAAAATCCAACCTGTCACAAAATGATGAAACTTAATTCTGCTGTGGCTCATCTGACCCATCACATTTACTGCTTTTTAATAGCTAGCGCTCTTCCTTAAAGATACTTCTTGAAATACATTCTGACATGCAGAGCTCTATCGTTGGCCTTCATCCTCCTTGCTGTTTTTCCCTTCTTCCTTCCATGCATACAACTGGCTGCAAAGGGCAGGGAGATGGGGTAGCAGAAGACTCTCCTTTTGGGCAGTAGTATGGATGGATCCAAGAAAGACTGGGGGGCAAAATCCTAGCTCCCCCATCCCAGAAACAAATGTGGAGGAAGGTTTGCTGAGAGCATCTTGCTCAGAAGACCTGAAAATTGGGGGGTCCTCTCTAGCTCCCAGTGCAGTGCACCCTAAGGTTGCGGTAGTAATTCCTTCCTACTTTTCATTTCCCCAGGCCATGGGAGTGCTTAATTGCTTCAAGGTGACATTTTGATCTTCCACTATGAATACCTCTTTGAACAGCTGAAGAGGTTTTCTCCTTCCTTGCTGTTAACGTTGGCGGATGTTTTTCTCCCCGTTTCTGCAGATGCACCTTCTGGTTCCCTTTATCATGTCCACAAATGATTTTACTTGGAAAACTGTTTGGTGAATCTGTCGCTTGAGGAGTAGGATTATGAAATGAATGACTAAAATGCTCCTTGCAAAGTCTGTTTTTTTTTCTCTTTTCCCTTTTCAAATTATCTGTTTTCACCACAGGTTACGGAAGAGACGTGCAAAATCCTAGAGCGCCTAGGATACGCTTGCGAATGCCGAGGACTTATTAACGTCAAAGGAAAGGGAGAACTTATGACCTATTTTGTGTGCACTGATACAGCCAAATCCCAAGCCCTTTGATCGGAACAAAAAGCCACTGAGAAGTAGGGTTAAAAATACAGATCATGCCGGGTTTGTGCTGTTCTATAAACAGCTTCCTTTCTGTGAAGCCTGGAGACGCCCGCCTCCTTACGTAAAGAAGCTGAAGACCCAGTGATTATGAACTACCTAACAAGGGTACCATTTTTTAGTGCAAGAGAGAGAGGTATGGAAAGCTCTTGAAGCAATGTTTACAGCTGTTCCTGACTCTGAGATTAAGGTTTGTGAAGATCCCGTGCTGTAGGGATGTGCGATACGGTCATGCCCTTTTTTTGCCGTCACCTGTGGATTCACAGTTGAGCTGATTTACTGCCTCTTCCTCGCCCTTCATTCAGCTCTAGTAACAGTAATGGACTTGTCCTGTAGAAGATAGGGCCCCAATGGCAGCCACACTGCCTTTAGGAAGCCAGAGATGGAGCACTGCTACTTTCTATATATTTTTTTTCAAAAAAAGAACAGAAGACTGGATTTGCAGGGGGAGCCCAACCAAGGTGTCGTTTGAACTCGAGACCACCTGTCTGCAACCCATGTGGGCTCCCCAATTTTGTGCTGAAGCTCCTTCTAGAACCTGCTTTCAAGTACCAGACATTTGCACTGCCAGTATTTTCTACGAACTGAATCCTGTCCACATAACTGTGTTTTCCTTGCGGTCGCTTTGTATTACTGCTAGACCTCTACCCTCCTCGGATCATACCAGTCCACGGTCACCTCTGCTTTTAGAAACGTGGTAAGTGGGGAGCTTTTCCAATTTGTACCTGTTTGGTGTTTCTTGGGTTCGTACCTGTGCGTGAGAGCAAGCAGCTGCACCTTCGGTTCTTGACTACGCTTCCACTTTGGGTGGAAACAAATCGGTGGTGCCTCTTTCTCACTTTATGCGGTGGCGTATTCGCCCTTCATAAAATGCCCTTTTAGTTCAGCAACTGTTCAATATCCTACATCAGTATGTGAAATACTGGGATTGTGTGTGTAAATTCAGTCCCTCTTCCCTTAAGGATTCAGATAACCATGCTAATATAAATTCAAAGCTATTATTACCTACAGCTTCATCACTGTCATGGAAAAATTCTCCGTACCTGGTAAAACTGGATGATGCACGATTCCACCATGTATTACGACCGTTGAACCGTAAAGCGACGATTCTCCCTCCCAGACCGTAAGCTTCTGGGAGCAGAATAAGAAACACGCTCTTGTGTTTCTTATTCTAAAACCAGGGGTGTGGAGCTGTAGGCCACGGAAGGAAAATCTGGCCCTCTGGGCTTTCTTCGAGGGCCTTCCCCATTCTGAAAGGCTGACATATCTCTCCTAAGTCTCAGTGACTGGCCGTTAAGAGATTTTTAAAGCTGGTATTTCTGTTCTCAGCCCTTGGCCCTCAACACCAAGGCAGTGCACAGCCCCCGAAGACTTTCTCTGAATGCTGCCCGTGGGCTGAGAGGCCCCTCGTCCTTGCTCTAAAGCATCATCTACCTGGGTAGTTCTACACTGGTAGCTACTGGGCTTAAGGATAAGTGAGGCCTCTCCTGCCTTAGACTACCTTTGTGCTTCTTTGCATCCTGGGTTAAGAGGCTGCTCCTTATTTCGTGTTGCTTGCGGATCAGGACAATAGGACAGAAGGCAGCATCTGCCACGAGCCAGGCTAGATCTTAGAGTACCTGTGTGATTGAAATGTTCTTTTACTAATCCAGATTTCTGCACCACTTCGCTCAGAATCACTTCTTTTTAAAGTATCTCAATAATTAGTCTTCTGTTGTCTTCTGTTGCTCAACAGGCTTTATCTGTAGTTGGTCCTTTAGTTTTAATCATCCTTATCCTATGATAAATATAGGTTGACTCCTATATAGCACCCTGACTAGGTAGTTAATTGAGTAAAGGAGAGGGGTATAGTATTTCAACATGGCACTGCTTTTTCACAACAGAGTGGCAGTGCTCACGACCTGGAACGATCAACGCCTGATCAACGCCAGGGCTAAGAGAAGTGTAATTTGTGAAGCTGGTTTTGCTACAAAAGTCTTGTTTGCAGGTCTGACTCTCATGTGGCAGGTGCCAATCAGAGATGCTGGCCCTACAGATATTGGACTGCAAAAACCTTCAGCCCTGCCAGGCAGCCTAGTCAGCGGTGAGTGCTGATAGGAGGTGTAGTTCAGCCCTATCTGAAGGAGCCCATGTACCCTACCACTCACTTGAATGATAGGAGGTTGGCACCAAAGATGCTGCTGACTGTTGTACAAACCTCCCGAAAGTTTAAAAAAAAAGCATTAAAAATTTGAAATAGAGGCTAAAGATGGTGACCCTGTAGAAGCAGGGGAAAAAAACAGAACAACATTGGGAGCTGCTTTATAGTGACTCAGAAGAGCGCCATCATTCAAGCAACCTAGTATTGCTGGCATGGATGGGCAGCAGTTCTCCAGGGTTCCAGCCTTGTCTAGAGAGGCCATGGACCTAACCTGTGACCCTCTATGGGGGAAGCCTGTGCGCTGAAACAGCTGTTTATTATTCTTGGGATCCAACCCCCAGTATTGGCAATGGGTTAATCTTGCAGATGTGACCCTGTTTGAGCTACTTCTGGCAGCTTTTATCACGTGAGAGCCAGAAACAAATCACCCAAGTCTTGCAGATAAGAAAAAGAGCTGCAAATGGTTCACAGTGTGAAATCAATACTACTAATATTATATGTGCCCAACTTTAAAAAAACCTCACGGTCCAACTGCATGTATGTTTTCTCAGTACTAGGTTGCGTTGAAGTAACTGAACTCACTCCCTAACTGCTGTATAGCATTGTAGTTTAAGGCATTATTTTTGAGTGGCAATGATGACTTACATTGACCAATTAAGTCAACTCTTACCTGGACATTTGCCTTGAACTGATGTGTTTATAAGTTGTTAAAATACTATGAAGCGTTTTGACACTCAATTTTCCTATGTGATTTAAATTTCCATGATACATCTCTGTAGAGTTTTGTAGAATGTCTTTTAATAGCGGTATATGAGCCTAATGAATCAGTACTTTAGTTCATCAACCACTTCCTCTGGAGGTAACTTACTTCACTGAAATCTGACTGGATGTTGATGGAACCATTCCTAAGATTCCTTCCACAGTTTGAGGACTATGATGATCATATTTTTAAAAGTGACTGCAGAGTTTATCAATATATGTTCTGTTCTGGATACATTCCTGTTGTGTTCACTATAATTACTGTGTAATTAACCTATGTGGAGGCAGAAGTGCCTATGTTTCATGACAGGAACAGTCTCTTCTAGAGAGCTCCTACTTACAGATGGAGGGCTTTTTGAAAGTCTTAGAATAGAATGGGGTCACACTAGCAAGGTTAGGGTGGTCCTGGGTAGTATTAAAAGAAAGTGTATGCAATTTGTTTTTGTAATAGCTGCACGTTAATGTGAATTATAATATATTGCTTTCAGCTCTTATTTTATTGTGTATTTGTAAAACAGTTGTTTTTTTTAAAATAAAATCTTAGAATGCTTTAATCTGAATGGTTCGTATTGTCTCACATGGAGCTATTTGTTATGTTCAGTGGCAATGATCAAAATGTCTATAACTATGATAAACTTAAAGGTAGAAAATTAAAGTGTGATTTTTTAAAAAGTTTCTAATATTCCTGTTATGCTGAAGTACACCAGTTTACGTTTCCCCTATTTCCTCTGAGTATTCTGGATTAAAATGTTAGGATATTCTAATGCCTGATTATTATCTTTAAAATATAATGTTGAAATTTTTAAATATAAAACTTACATTTTTTTCTTAATTTACACAGTCACTTCCCTTGAGGCTATTGTGAAAACTAGCCAAATATATTAACTGTTATTAACAAAGTGACAACTGATAGAAAGGCGGCCAGTCATGGGTCTGAGACGTTTTGTTGATTGCCAAATAGGGGTGTGTGTGTTTTGTAGTGAAAATGCGTGCACCGATCCTGTTGATGAAGTGCTACACTTGAAACCTTTCCCTCTTTTGACTGATGTATGTATGCACACCAAGGCTTGTTACATGACCATCCTGATGTAAGTCCAGTATTCACTTTTCAAATTGAGATACATTCATACAAGATCTTTGTGACTACTCATAGGCACCCTGTGTTAGTAAGCAGCACACAACTACTAATATCAATAGTGCTGTTCTCTTGGCAGTTTTACTCTAAATTCTGTAGGTCCCTACTTTGCAGCCTTTTTTGACTTAATGTAACAAGACATGGCATGTACAAGACCTAGGTGAACTTAAGACATGGGAACACAAATGATTCAAAGTCATCATAGGGTAGACGGAGGTTGCGTTCACTGGCTGTGATGTAAGAGGGAAAAATTGCACTAAACAAATGTAGACTTCACCGCTCAATTTGGATCTGTAATCACCTCACTTCAGATCTTCCTAGGAGGACAAGATCAGCCGTCCTCCCTACAAGCAGCTAACTGCCCAAATAGTGCCTTGAAAGAGGATATCCTAGCACTGCCATTAGAACAGCACCAGTTTGACTCTTAAGCCTTTTATTAAGAATTTGAAAATCCTTAGACTGCCATTAGACTTTTAAGCCTTTTATTAAGAATTTGAAAATCCCGAAAGACATTTCTAATAAAATATACAAAGAGCCCAGGCATGCATGGAGGTGACCCTAGAAGGGAGAGGAGAAAAAACTTAAGACTTATGGGAAACATTATGTACCAACCGGTTCACATTCATTTCCGATAAGAACGGTAGCTTTTGGCGTTTCCGTCAGATCTGGAAAAAAAGGATTAAAAACTATTTGCTCACTTGTTTGGGCTGAGAAAAGCAAGTCAATGTACAATAACTACCCAACCAGCAAGAAGCTAATGATGTTAATCCATCCATTCACAATTCATCCCCTATGTTAAATGAGCTGCTCTAATTCAAGTGTGTGCCCATCAATTCAAAGTCTTGTCCTGAATCAATATATCTATTCAAAAGCAAGCTAGAAGGTTTTCACTTGTATTGGTTAGTTGAATCACTTTGTAAGCCGCACTTGGTCCCTGTGTTGGGACAAAGGTGGGATTGTAATCATCATAACAGAGAAATTGCATCAGGGGGTGCTACCGCCCTAGCAAAGTACTTCATAGAAAGGGTCATCCCTCCAATGGGGCCTGTTAAAACCCACTCCGGCTACTTACCCTCCGTTAAGTCAACAACGCTGTCCAGCTTGTCCAGTAAAGGGACAGAAATCCCCAGGGCTTTACGGAGTCCGTACGTGCTGACAATGTCCCCAGGAGCCACTTGTTGGGCGAGCTCTTTTAGATTGCTGGTCACTCTCTCAGCTGGAAAAGTGCACAAGAGGACATTGGACAACTTTTGAGGAGACTGCGCTAAATGTTGCAAGTTGCTCAAACAGCCTGAACACTGGGGCTTCGTACAAGATTGTTTTCAGAGGATCTTTTTAAAAAAATAATAATCATCGTAATCCGAGAGAGGAAGACACCACTCTGTATTCAAAACCACAGTAACTCTAAGCACAAAGACAGCTGTGAAAGCAGTAATGAGTGATGCTGGAGGGTGCCTCCTTCATTTGTCATGATCCTCCATCATCTAAGCTGCTTGCAAGAGACAGAGTGGATGGGATGGCCATGGTCACACCACAGTCCTACTGAATGACTACATCCTTCTCCCCCTCTCCTTTTGAGTCATGCTGTCTAGTCCTCCAAAAAGCTTGTGAAGGACGGGATGATTCACACTGGCTGTATCTAAGCACACACCCCTTCCTGGTAGTTCATCTGCCTGGGAAGCTGGGCCCCAGGAACCACACTTACCCAAATGCATCTCCTTGTAAGATGGGCCCAAGAGGCAAATCATGTTGGGAGGTGGTTTTGTACTGAGTCGTTCATTCTGAGCATCCTGAAGCTCCTTGAGCAGTTTTGTGGTTTCGTCTAGTTTCCTCTGGAAGACTTCAGCTTCTGTGAAATGAAAAATGAAGTCATGGGAGGCAGCCAGCAAGGCTAGAAGGTGCCAAGAGATCTCGCCCTGCGAACTCCACTCACCTTCAGAGTCAAACTCTTCCACGGGCATCCCAAAAGGGGTAACGGCTCTTAATGCTGTCAGCCTCTCTTTACTAAGAGAGCCGTCAAACCTGCTGGCTGGCTCTGTTTCCACAATCTGTGGAGGGCAGGAAAGGCTTGTCTTTAAAACCCAAGAAAACTAACTCACACCAAATCATTTTAAACACACAGTAAGTTCTTGGAAAATTTTAAGATCAAGGCATCTGTAAAATGGCATAGGTGGCCCAAGGCACAAAACTGGATTATCTAGTCCTTTTTTTGGATTTCCCTAACATAGTCGGTTATCATGTATATCTTGCATCGTCATCATTTAACACACTGGTATTGAAGAGCATTTAGAGGGAGACCCTCACAACCCTTCTCCAGAATTTCTACTCTTGCTACTGGAGTCTTGGATGCCCCTAAGACACCCCTGCCTATCTGCCACTGGGTAAACGATACCATCATGCAAGACAACATGATCCTGAAGGTATTATTACAAAGCACCAAACACTTAGTAGTTACTTTTAAAATAAATGGGTAGGTTTGTAGCAGGAAATGCTGGCAGTTACAGGTGAAATCTGAATAGGACAGAACACTAAGTAAAATTAAGGGTTTTCTTGCTTGCTTGTACTATAAACAGTTTTTTTCTGTAAACAAATGTAACGTTCACGCGAAGAGCAGCATCCGCATCATCTAACAAAAATCTCATTCAGAAAACCTAACTGGTATGTTGTCGGACATAAGCTTCATTACAGCTTGATTCTTTTCGGTTCTACCAAGAAAAAGTTAAAATACAGGAGCTGGGCTTTTATTTCTGCTTCTGCACAACAGCAAGCTAACAGGTCCTGTTTTTAAAATGTCTAAGTATAAGATTTGGCACTCTGACAAAAAAGAGGAAGTTCTAGTGAAACATCATCGTTGCAAGTGGTTTGCAGTGCCCTTCCTAGGCAGCATGGGAATTATGGGCACTGTGGTCTAAAAACACTTCGGAGAGCCATGGCCATATCGAACCCTGGTCTAAAATTTCAACAGCAATGTCACCTCTACATCCTTGGTCCGATCAGTCCTTCCACGCAGGCTTTCAGCTTCCTCTGCCGGCTGTAACTGGAGAAGAATGAAATAAGGTGATGGTGTATTAAAATAATAATAATGGAGGGGGGAATCTTTTTACCTGGTTCAACAAAACCACTCTTATGGACTTAAGCTGCTCCCATAATTTTAACTTTACAGGGCAGCGTGGGCTTCTCCTATGTAGTTCCAGGCTTTGCATGTTATTTCAGTGTTGTGGGGAAAAGCAACACTGCTGTGACCCCCACACTGCTAAGGTTAAGAGAAACATTAATAGGCATGGGGGGCGGGGATGTGGAAGGAGCCTCCCTGAAGCATATGAGGAGGGCTGTAAACACATCTGGTTTGCGTCCCCCAGGCTGCGACAGCATGCTGTCGGCTGATCCTTCCGCTTCAGAAACACCACTGCATTACTTCTGACACAAATGAAGGCAGCGACAGCCCATGCTTTTGCTTTCCTCTCCGTTGTCAAGAAAAATTTAAGCAACCTGTGCACTAGACCGCAACCCGAATTTGAATGCTGGCTGCAGGGAATAAATCTGGCCATGACAACTCCACCAGAGCTTCAGGCAAAATCAGTTTGTACAATCTTTTCCCACAAAATGCACAGATTTTTTGGGGGGTCTGGATGAACACATGCCCTCAGAACTCACTGTCTGCCTCTCTCTCCTCCTCTTCAACCCAAAGGTGATTTTAGGGGCAACAGCCAAGAGAATCCAGATGGGCCAATGACGGGGATGTAGGGCTCTTTCTTCCCTACCCACTCTGGCGCTATCTGAACAGAGAGTAGAGCTATACCTCTGGCTTAGAAGTGCAACCCGCTGCATCAACAGGTGTAATAATTCAGTCAGTGGGCTTACATAGAAGCACAGGAATGATTCCAGCATTTGACAAGGCTTTGGAAGAAAGAATGCACGAGCCCCCTTAAAGTGGTGCCAAGACGTCAGACGCTATTAACAAGTCTTAGGCCACCGTCCTACACTTGCAGGCTCGAGACCGCTTAGTTCAAGAGGATTCTGGCCTTTGAATAATACGATCAGCATCTTCCAGCCATGGAACTACACGGAACGAAACTTGTTCTATTTTTACTTGCGGCAATTAAAAAATTCAAAGGAATGTATGGTTCATAGATAAAGCATACATAACACCTTTTCGGAATCACTAAAATGTGAAAAACCTTATATCTTGTTGTTCAATTGTAACAGTTCAAAATATGGGGAACGAAGGAAGACAAGAAACTGTTCCCAAGCCTAGTTCGTCCGAGGGTTGACTCAACCTCCCATCCTTCCAAGGTCGGTACATTGAGTACCCAACTCACTGGGGATGGTGGCCAATGTTGTAAACCACCCAGAGAGTGCTTTAAGCACAGCGGGGCAGCAGATAAGCAGCACACTTTGCTTTTTGGCTTAACCTAATGCTCCTCTTGTAGATTAACTGCGGAATGTTCTCTCTGTGTTGCCATACCATTTGGAATGATGGATCTTGTTGTTACAGCGCAACTCCTTCAACAATTCAAAAAACAACGCATCCTATATGGTGCCTCACAACCAGCTGTGTACAGTATGAACATGTGCTGCTAGAAATAAAGATTTCATGGATGGACCTCCACAGCTGTGGAATGATCTCATCAGGGCGATTAGGAACAGTTTGCCAATACTCATCAAAGCCTGGACACATGGAGTCTTAGCCTATTTGGCTACCCAAGCCTTCTTCACTGCGTTACCTACTTCTTTACTGCCCTGAAGGCTTACTTCACGGTTTACAGACATTAGCAAAGGAGAGGTCTCACCAGCTCTAGTTCTCTCAGGGAGCGAGAGTGCCCTCCTTGGGTTAGGACATCCAGCAAGCTGTCAGCCATTACATAGGGATAATCTTGAGACTTGGCCAAAAATTCATTCATGCTAAAATAAAGGGGAAACAGCAACAAAAACAAAAAAAAATCACATGCCAACGGATGTAGAATAAGCAATCTATAGAAAACCAATTATTTATAGCCAACTTGCCTTTCACAAGTCACCCGGCTGCTTCTGGTAACTAGGAACTGCCTTCTGGGCAAACAGCTGGTGGGTTATTCAACAGTTCTCCAAAAAAAATCATAAGAGGAAAAACATACACTCTATCCCTTAGATGTAGCCCTTTCCAAAATAGGTTTTCACTTCAATAAGGCCATCAATATAAAACCACAAATAAGCCTGTTTGTTTGGTTGAAATACTCACTTAAAATTTCCTTGATTAGAATCTTCTCCATAAGTAGAGTATATCAAATCTGAGTCGTCCTTGCTGATATTTGCAAATGTGGAATCGTAAGCTGGTGCATAAGAGCTAAAGGGCCCATAGTTTAAGTACATCACTAGGAAAAAGACAGCACAAATTAAATCTCTCAAATATGTTAACAATATTTAATTTGCATGGTCTATACTGACAAGATAAGCTTTGAATAATAGATTATGTCATCACAGACCACCCAAGTTTCAGTGGAAGTAAGGACAACCTCTTGATTTAAATATAAGAAAACATTAAAGCTACTTTCGTTGCTCTAGCCACAGTAAAGATAGACTTCTTTAAGTGGTAAAAACTTGAGATGTATACATTCAGGACTGCGGGCATGCGACATAGGTGGCTCAAGGTAAAGTGGTTTTTATCATCGTCAAGGTGACCCTGAGGACCCAGGGAGTTTCCGCAGCACTTCCTGGGTCCTCGTGGCCACCTTGCAAGGGTTGGGTCTAAGCCAGCCCCCCCTTCTTCATGAGGCATGAATCTGACCCCTCAAGGGACTTCCCTGTTTCCACAGACCTTTAAACCAAGAGCACGGGGATGAATCTGCAGCTTCTCAGAGACCTGTTCTTCCACTTTTCCTACCCAGGCATCGCCTACGAAGGATGAGACGTGGGTCGTTCACCTTCAAGGCAGAGATGGTCTGACAGGGCTTAAACCCCATGTACAGCTCATTCTCTTGACAAGCCAAGCAACCTCATGAGGAAACGAACCGCATATGCTCTTCCTTTGAATACCATCCCAGAAGACCATTTTGGAAAAATAAGATGTGTTCCACAACAGCAGGCAATGTGTGGCTCTCCAACTTAAACTGTGGCATGCCTGTCGAACATGAGCTCATCACGAGATAGAGGGAAATGTCTACTTGTTTATTTCATTTGTTTATTCCCCACTGTTAGCTTTCTTTTGCCGTTTAGGGTGCTTTTTTTTTTTAAGCAGAAAGCAGTCCTGGCTCTTACCTGGAGTCACTTTATTCCTTTTGTCTTCTTTGAATCCTTGCAACGTGTTTACACCTGATTGAAGTCTTCCAGCAGTTACACCCAACTTCATGGAACCATGAATGAGTTCTATCACCCAAGAGAGACATGAAAAGTTATATATAGTATAGTAATTGAGGGTGTGCTTTTTTAAAACTTCTGAATAAATAGGTGCCTTAGATATTTGAAACACCTCCCGTTTGGTTAAGAATGGGATTTTTCCAAAGCTCTTGTGAGAATATATTGGGGGGGGGGAGAATCCTACCATGGTCTTCTTTGAATCTTAAGAGAGAATATGGCAATACCTTTCAAAAGGGAGTGGGGAGCATTCCCTGCCCCCTCCACCAGGAGACCCTTCTTAACCACCATCATCATCTTGAGGGTGTTTTTTTAAAATTCTGAATAAATTGGTGCCTTAGATATATGAAACACCTCCCGTTTGGTTAAGAATGGGATTTTTCCAAAGCTCTTGTGAGAATATATTTGGGGTGGGGGAATCCTAAGAACTACCATGGTCTTCTTTGAATCTTGAGAGAGAATATGGCAATACCTTTCAAAAGGGAGTGGGGAGCATTCCCCGCCCCCTCCACCAGGAGACCCTTCTTAACCACCATCATCATCATACAACTGCCGAGATGGAAGGGACCTTGTGGGTTGTTAAATCCAGTCCTTGTCAAGAAGGCCCAGTGAAGAATCGAACTCCCAGCCTCCAGCTCTGCAGTCAGAGACCTAAAACACTGAGCTATCCAGCAGTTCTGTTACTGGAAATTCTTTTCCAGTGGACATCTGCCAGGAGCAAACTCTGGGGTGTTCCTGATCGAAGTCACATGTTCATTGTGGGCTCTACTAATAGTCATCCATGCTATGGCAAGGCATTCATAGAAAACCAATGTGGATTGTTCCATAATTTTAGGTCACTATTTCTCTACCTGGCAGTGTTGTGAAGCCGAAGCTGTTCTGTATTTCCCTGTGTTAATTGCTCAATCAGAGACCCATTAAGCTAAAGTATAGATCAGAAGCATGCATGCAACGCCTGGGAATCCCTAGGAAGCCATGCTCAAGAGGAGAGTGGGACAGCCCCAGGAGAATTCCCCAGTGCTTCTGCTAAGTGTAGAAATCCACTGGTAATGCATCACACCAGGAGGAAAGGTGGTTAAGATTGGTCATTGCCGCCTTACCCCCTGCGCTGTTTTCCGCTGGGTTAAGAAGTCCCAGGGTAGTGGTCCCATCAGGTTTTCTTCGCTCAAACTCACACTGAAATAAAAGAGCAAGTCATTAAAACCTGTCCCTTGTGCCCTGCCTGAAACGTGAGCATCGCACAGAGCCATACATAATTGATTAGGCTTTTTTGCTCATCGCTTCCATTAATGAATATTACGAGACTTGATTTAGATTTTTCATGACACCACGCATCACTGTGTCAAATCAAAAAGGGCTTCAACTGGTGTTTAAATTCAGCCAAGTTTTCGGTAGACCATGGCCATCCCCTTTCCTCCTGCCCGCTTACCTGTCCACTAGCAGGTCGTTTTGTTAATTTTCCTCCAGATTCTCTAATGATACGCTCAATCAGCTCTTGCTCCCTCTCTAGATTGCTATTCCTTATTTTTTCTTCAAGTAGCTCTTTCTCCTTCCTGAAAAATAAATATCAAAACAGAGGGGTGTGTGTGTGAGAAATACCCTATAAACCTTACCATTTTGCTTTGTGTTATTAAAGGAAGCTGAATATTATTAGTTTGAAATCTTGGTCAATTTCCCCAGTTGTTCCTGCAGTTGTTCTGCAGCAGAAAACGGAAGGTGCCCAAAGCAAACCAGGTAATCCTTGCCGTGGCTGGAATTCCTTGCCTCACAACAGGAAAAACGGAGGGCAGCCTTGGACCCTCCATGCAGGGTGGGGAAGCGGAAGCCCATGGAACACACACTCCCTCCCCACCTGCCTCTTCCCTAAGTTAGGCATGAAGAAGAGGAAAGAAGTGGCCATCACCGTTTTCGGTTTGGCTACTAAGATCAACCCCCTACACGTACTTCCAAGAAACCCTAAAATAACACTTGAAGGTGTTCGCTTTCTCCTGCTTTTTGCTCTCCACTAACCAGCCTGCACGGCTGTCTCCCCGGACGGAAGACTCAATGGAGCCATTGGGAGGAAGGGTCGCTGACACACCAATTCCCCATGAATCTGTTCAAGCCCCCTTTTAACACCACCTTGGCCTGCCCCTGTCTCGCCGCACCCTCCACGGATTCTGCAGAAGCAGAAGAAATATTCAGCCCCTTCCGGAGTAATCACTTTTTGTATTCTTTGCTGGGACTCCTAAATGCCCTGGGGTCTGCATCCATGGAATCGGCCTCTTTTCCAAGACTATCCTCATCTTCTCCACCGGACTGTAGACCTGCTTTATCTTTCTGCTTCCTGCTTTTCTGAAGGTCTGCCATGAAATCAATACTTTGCTTCAAGCTCTGAATTCTTTCCTAAGGAAACAAACAGATTCGTTTCAAGAGTTTCCCCTGCGTTGCCCCGGTTGAGAAGCCTACCTAGCCAGAGTGCATGTTTGAGAATTACGTACATTCTTTTTAGGCTGCAGTCAAGATGTATGGAATTAAAAACATACTTCAAGCACAAACATTCTTAAGTATAACTATTCTTCAACAACAAAACCTTATTGGATCATCCCAGATCAGGAGAATGTGCTCACATTTACTAAGAGGAAAAAGGAAAACATGTATTTGATTTTTCTCACGCTCACTAAATGGTTAAGCAAGGATCTAGGGCAACATCTTGTCTATTCATATAGAAAATTAAGTATGTCTCAATGTTAGTACCATAAACCTGCATCTCCAATTTATTTAAAGTGCAAATCTATTGAAGTCATTTACCTGGCTGAGTATTTTCATTCCTGAATGCAGGAGTTTTTTCGCAGCCTTGTAATAAATAGTCTCCGGTTTGTTATAGATCATGGCATTGGTACACATAAGCTTGAAGTTGTCCTGTTATGAACCAAGAAATTAAGGTATTTGAGCAGAGATGGCAACAAAACATCTGTCTCTTGCCCCCCCCCACACTCATTTTAATTAAAAAAAACCTTGTGTATGGCAGGCCCATTCTGTGGCCTCCAGAGGAGGTGGGGAGAACTCTTTTAAAAAATCACTTACACTTTTAAAGTGCATGACTTGCTTTTAAAACAAATTACCCCTCCCACGTATTCTCTTCTCTACAACCATTTAAAAAAACTTGAAATAAGCATCTGGTTGCTTCTGGGTTTATTTTTAGAGTGGCTGGTGTGACTTCTAGGAGAGTCCTAGAATCAGCAGAACGGTCTCTCAACAGCACCTACTCCAGTAGATGACACGGTGACTAGTCATCTGAAAAGGCAACCTCACTTGTCTGACTTGGCAAGAAAAAAGCACTAAAACATTCAGGTGCCACTGGATCGCGATAACTTACGGAGGGGAGATTTCAGAATGATCAGTCGTAAAGCGGGTGCATGTTTTTCACCACTGTTTAAGGAGAATTTCCAAGCTGTAACCCAGAGAGATTTTCTGGCCCTTTTAAAGAGCTCAAAGGCAGAAAACAGGGCGAGCAAGTGGAAACTCCCTGTCTTACCCTAATATTCCAACCGGCTCTCTCTCTCTCAACATGCTCCCTGTCCACTTTCCACTGCAGACAGCAGGCAGAAAGGTGGGCCAAAAGATCACCAGAGCAACGGGGAGAGAGGCATCTATGGCTTTCTCCCTGGGCTCTCTCTCAGCTCTTAAAAGAGCACTGGTGTTCGATCCCCCGAGGTGGGACTGGGTGCCTTTCCCTCTGGTATTACCTTGCAAAGCAGTCGGCCAACGGCTGATGTGCTTTAGAGGTGACAGATCTGATCTGAGGCCATAGACATTTATGACAAGCCTCTCACTTTTTTACACTTTGGTATTAACGTGGAGATAAAGGTAACGCTCATCACTGACAGTTCTCCCAGGAGATCACAGGGCTGTTTTTGTCAGACTGACAACAGTCATAAAAGAACCACCACACAGGCCTTCTGTTTTCCTTTAAAATGTACAAACAGAAGGGTATAAGGGCGAGGCTGGAATTTTAATAAGCAGTGGTGAAAGGCAGGAAGGTGACAGGGTGAATCTCTTAACTCTTAAAGAAAGAGCGCACATAATACTTCTTCCAGGAACATGACTAGTACATTTTAGAAGATAAAGAGGTGCCACAAAAACACAAAGGAACTAGACACATACAGTTGCTAAGACCTTTCCCACACATTTTTTATAAGGAAAAATGTCCTTTGCAGGCTTCCGTGCAGGGTGGATTTGATTTAAATCAGGTCAATGGAAATAATGATTTAAATCACTAGTCAGCAAGACTCAATTTAAAGCATGATTTTTCAGTCTAAAGACTCATTCTGGCTGGTAATTATAAACTTTGATATTTGCAACCAGATGAAGGTTTCATATTTAGAATAATAACCTGTCAGATTAGTAAAGTAACTTTATCAAAACGGGTTTTAGTTTAATAGGTTAATCGCTCATATTTGGAGAAATGCTTACATTGTTTTAACTAAACCAATACAATTATATTGAATTTTTTTTTCATTTGCTTAAACATCAATGTTTATTAACTGAAATGGTGAAACAAAATATCTTTCTAAAAAGCAAACTATCTTCCAGTCTTCAAACCTAGCATTTAAGGTGCAGTAGGAACTCCACCCCCACACATCTGCAGGATCAGGATCTCCTGATTCACTTATCTACTGGCTGAAAATACTAAATACTTTCCCCAAAATATGTAGTTATATTCCAGAACTAGCCACTAGAGGGATTCAGAGACCATGCAATGTATACCGTTTACTACATCCACGTTTTTCTGCATCCGCGCAGAGGCTTGGCACCAATCCTCCGCGGATACTGTGGTCCTATTGTAATATGTTCATTGTTTGTGCATCGAGTTGCAGGACAACAATGAGGTTAAGGTCTTTTCCTGAACTCTTGTTTATTTTATACCATTTTTACTGTGAAAAAGTGCATGTTATCTCAGCTTGGACAACTTGTAAATATTTCATGAATACACCACCTCATGCTACATAACTAAGCTCTATCTCATAATGAATAACCTTTGAAGTATAATGTAGTTAAATGCAGAGCTATCTTTAGATAGATTTTTCCTCCAAAAGCATTTCATTAAAATAATTCTGATTTAAATTTTAAAAAATCTGATTTTCTTTTGAATCATCAGTTTTAATCTACCCTGCTTCTTTGGCTCACATTAAGTTTTTCTAGTAACTACTTAATCCCACTGGTATGTTGATGAAGAGATAATGAATGATCACTAGAAGGATTCATCAACCTGACAAGCTAGAAACCAAGTCATATTCCCATCCACTATACTCCTTTTCTGAAATCTATAATCTTGTTGCTTTAAAACATTCAAGTAGTACTGAAATACATTTTGGCTATTTAGCCTTTTGCTTCTGACACCCATGTGTGCGCGCACACACACACACACTTTCTAACACCTTCCCCCTGGAAAAGCATCTATTGAAGACATTTACAAAGGTGTTGTTCTCTAAAGAGAGAGAAAAGGAAAGTTCTTAAAGACAGATGTGTTCGTTTTTGATTCTGTGCGTTCTTAAACTATGGAAGAGCAGTCTAAAAAAGGAATAAAACATTGGGGGGAAAAATAAAAGGTATAATGCAACTGCGAGTACCAGAAAGTGTCAATGTTTAATCCTCTCTCTGCAGTTAAAATATAAATTAAAAGCACCTTTAGTTCCTCTATGGACTGGTAACCATTGTTCTTGATCTTTTCTTTCATGGTACTAAAATCCATTGGGCGTTTAATGATCATGGAGTAGCCGGGAGCAATAAAGTCAGTCACAGGAAATGAAAAGAAAGCATTTGGATCTTTTCTGTTAAGAAATGAAAAGAAGACCCCTTTATGTTTCATCTCGATAACAAAGAACAGACAGAGTTTAGTATTAAATAGGAGAGAAGACTCTCTAACTTGAAAGAAAGCAGAAAGCTGAACTGAAACAAGAGATAGTTTTTGCCCTAATCCAATCTCGCATTTCTTTAAAGTTGCAGAGGTAACTGCCCAGAAGCATCTGGGCCCATTCCCGCCACATTTTTTTGCTAAGATGTTATTGTTCAAGTGTGTTTGATAGTTCTAAACCAAACCACAGGAATCATCTTTTTTTTCCGCCTCTTCTCAGGATTCAAAGGTCCATTAAAATATCAATGGCAGCAGCAGCTTTTTGTGCAAGGCCACTGAATGCTTGCAAAACAGCTCTCTCATCTTTGAATAAGGAAGCTCTTCTGGTACAGACAACATTCCCCCAAACCAGAAGGAACATTAATATATAGATGAAAGGCCCTCAAATATCAGTAGTCCAAGCCGCCCCTCACCTAGGGTAAGCTAAAATTAAGATCTCTGTGTTATGTGTCATAAAGTCAGAACCAACTTATAGCAGCCAAATAGGACTTTCAAGGTACGTAAGATATTTAAGGACTGGTTTTACCAGTTACACCACTGCTCAGCAGTGTGTTTCCTTGGCCAAGAGGGGATTGAAACCCAGGACTCCAAAGCTCAGTGGCTTAGGTCTCTGGCTGCAGAGCAAGAGGTTGGGAGTTCAATCCCCCCATTGTGCCTCCTTCAATTAGAGCCAGCCCGCGTAGCCTTGAGCAAGCTGCACAGTCCTAGGGTGCCCCCTCGAGGAAGGGAAGGGTTTATCATGTACAGGAAGAACCCTCCAGTCCAGTGTGAATCATGCGCACATGTTCCTTGCACTCACAAGAAAGGCTAATGCCAGGGTGGACAAAATGAACACAGGTCTTGTCTACCAGCCAGCATCGTCCTCTATGATCCCACTTTATATAAATCTGATCTTGTCCAAGTCTAGGAGCCAAGAGTGGTCAGGCCCACTCAAGCACCCAGTTGCAATCAGGAAATTCCACAATCTCCAGGTAGGATTGTTTAAAAAAATCTTTTCTGAAAATCTGGGAGAGCCACTGTTGCGGAGCTGGCAATAACGGGCTAAATGGACCAATTGTCTCACACAGTGGCTGAAATCCAGCAGTGTAACCTGTGCCGTGCACAGCTGATGAAGTCATAAACTGCAGCAGCTTTTGGAAATCAAAAATTTCTAATTCCCTTCCTCTGAAGGTCCCCAAGGGTATCTTGGAATCCTTTTTCTGTCACATGGGGGTGTCTTTAATCTCCAAAACAATCACTCAAAAGACACAGCCACAATAATCTCATAAGCCAGGTGGCTATGATACATACAGTGGTGCCTCGACGTACGTCCCTACTTACGACCATTTTGGGTTATGACCAGCTCCGGCCACATAATTTTGCTTCAACTTGCGGACAGAGCTTTGAGTTACAACCAGGAAAAGGCATGGGGGAATGGCGGGGAATTCAAATATACTAACCATCGGTCAACAAAGAGACTGCTTCTTTGTAGCTCTTTCACCCCAACGGTTAGAGAAGGGGCCAGGGAACATTTTTGTACCTCTTACAGTACCCCCCAAAAACTATGGAACTTTGGAAGGGGAGCCGCTGCCCAGCCTTTCCCACAGAGCCTCCCCCATCTAAGGGGGCCCTTTTCTCTCTTCTCCTTTGCCTTCGCGCACAATGCAGGGAGGGGGGCACTTGGGTCTGCCCTCCCGCCTCTTGCCCGCAGAACCCCTAAAAGAGGGGAGACCCCTCCTGCCACCCTCTCCTCTCCGAAGGCCTAGCCCCAGCTTCGACTGAGGGGGCCTCATCCAGCCGGAGGGCGGACCAGGGAATGATCTGCTTACCTGGAAGGGCAGCCTGGGGGAGGGTCGGTAGCCCCGCCCAGCGACGCCATTGGCTCAGGCACCTGTGCAGGTGGCGCAGCTCCACAGGAGGGAGAGGCGGGTGGTTTTGTTGTGTTTTGTTTTTTTGCAGCCCCAGCACGTGTTATTTTTATTTGGGGGGGGTGGTATTTTTTTCTTCAGCCAGAATGGATTAATGGGTTTTCAATGCATTCCTATGGGAAACGGTTAGTGCTTCGACTTACGACCATTTGGAGTTATGTCCATCTTCTGGAACGGATTATGGTCGTAAATCGAGGAACCACTGTATTTAGTTTTGCAGAGTGTAAAATTACTTATACTAGCATACCAACACAAGACATTCTGTGGTCGGTTGAAGAGGTGGGATCATGCCTAGGCTGATAATCCTGCATTTTATTCTACTATTAAATGGTTAGCAATTCCTACTAGCAACGTCATGAATCTTTTGAGCCTGATAAGAAACTCACCTCTGCAGTTGTCTCACAAGCTGGTTCAAAGCTTCTTGAAGAGGTGTCTGTTCCACTTCTAGGACCAACATTGGAAAGAAAGAACAATGAACCAACATTTTATTTATTTATTTGTCTTATTTGGCTGCCTTTCTCCCGATAACATGCATTACAAGAAAAACTCTTAAAAGTCTTACATGCTCATGATACAGCTTTATATCAAACACGGATGCAGAATGTCAGAAGCAAGGTAATACACTCATCAAGAGTCTACTGTTAATTGTACCAACTTTTTCCCAGCAATGGAAGAATTTGTTCTGTGCTGGCCAATGATCAAAGTATCAGTACCCTGCAGACAAAAGCAAAGCCCACAGCTACTCCTCAGGAAGGCTGAGTATCTGTTGATTTAATTGTAGTTGGAGGGAGGAGGCAGACCAGGTGCTTATAAAAAATAAATCTGAAATCAAACTGCAGGGATTCTAAAATTCTGGTCAATTACACCTCAATGAAGGCAGAAAAAGGAAGTAAGGCAAATGCAGCTATTATTCCAGAGATATTTTGAAAGTAATTTAGTACAGTGGTTCCCAAACTTGAGGCCCCAGATGGACTACAAGTCCCAGAAGCTGTACCGGCTAGTGCCTGTGGGAGATCGTAGTCCAAGAATAACTATGGCTCCTTCTTTGTGGGCCACTGATGTAATATACAGGTTAGTGTCTTACTGCCTAAATGCAGAGTAGAAAGATCACCCCATTAGCATCCTCCCACTCAGGCCGGCCCCTAGGCACATGCCTTTTCTTGCACTGGCTGCAAAGTTTGGCACAGGATGGGAAGACCACCAGGGCAAAAGGGGATGCTTATACGATTGTCCTTCCACACTGTGCTGAGGCAACCAGACATCAGACATGATGTATTTGAAATGCAATTTTATCAGCTAGTGTGACAGCCCTTTTGACTAAAAAAAAAAGAAGAAGATAGAACAGTCTTCAAAAATGTATAATTTCAGGAACCGCATAATACTTACATTAGAATGACTGCTAAAGCTTCCTAACATTAAAAAAAATCAAAGCAGAACAGAAGATTTAACAGCTGATAATGCAACAATGGTGTGCTGGTTACCTTCCTGTTTTGCCAAACTGCTCAGTGGTTTTTCAACTGTCAATTCCATTCTCAGCGGAGTCTGGCATTTCAGCTCTCTCTCTCCTTCACTTTCAACCCGGTCCCGATCCCGTTTCTTTTTATCTTCCTAAGAACACAAACAATAAGCAATACTGGGATATGAATCATGGGTTCTGGCTATGCATTAATTTGCAACTGTGCTAAAGATGAATGCAAATGGTTATGAATGATTTTCTATGTGTTGTCACCACGTACTGGAAGACACACTAATTCAGGGCAATATCCAAAATAACAACAGAACAGAAAGGGCTTAGATCCATCAGAACTTTAAAAGGCCTGCCTTATATTATTTGGTCACCTAGCAAAACATTGTCCGTTTGAGGTGTAGCAAATCTGGAGACCTCCCAATACGGCTGGATTTGGTTCATGCCTCTTTAACTTGTGCAAGCTTCCTCTGCCAAATGTTTGCTACTTCCCAAATGAACGAGGAAACGGTTCCAAGAACCCACCTTTACTTTCCTCTTCCTCTTCTCTTTCTCCTCTCCAGGAACCTGCTTTTCCGCTTTTTTCCTTTTCTTCCTCTTCTTGTCCTTGTGCTTTTCGTGTTCATCTCTGTCTTCGTACTGGGCCGGATCGTGGACTGCGCTCTGAGTGGAAAGTTCGGCGACCTCGTTCCCTCCCACTTTCAAAACCAGCTTTAAAGGCTTCTCGACATATTCTGGAGAGAGGAACAAGTGGAATACGAAACCTGGTTAGGCCTAAGAAGTGCCACAGGACCTCCCCATCCACAGGATCACTTTCTGCTGATCCACTTACCCGCTGCCCGAAAAATCCTACCTAAATCCTCCAGGAACTCACATTTCCGGGGTGCATTTACTACAACCGACCACTAGAGGGCGCCAGACACCGTAAAAAAAGGCCAGTGTTCGCTATATCCGCGTTTTTCCGCATCGGCGGGGTGGGGGAGGGAGTTTGGAACCGAAGCCCCACCCTATTGGGCTGTTTCGGGCGCAAAAACCGGGGAGGGGAGTAAAGGGTTGGTGGGGGTCGAAACCTAAAAGGTGGGTCCCTCAGGCCGTCCTCGGCCCCCCCCTCAGCTCAGCTCCCCGCCCTTCCTCTGAGGGTCCTCTTCCCGCCTTTTTTCTTCTTCCTCCTCCCTCCCCTCAGAAGAGGAGGCACGTGAGGAAACCGCCAACCCCCCCTCCCCAAATTGTCGCCTCAGGAAGGCCAAGGAAAGCCCCCGCCGCCACCTTCCTCCCCTTCTCACGCACCCCCCCTTCCCAAACTCCGCCGGCCTCGGGCGGCGCGAAGCGGGAGGGCGGCCGCACCTTCATACGGGTACTTGTCGCCCTTGTGCTTCTTGTGCTTCTTGCCCATGGCCGCGAGCAGCCCCCCTCACAAACCTCTCTCTCTCTCTCGTGCGCGTGCGCGTGCGCGTGCGCCCAAAAAAAGGAACCCGGCTGTTCTCGCGAGAAGAGGAGGAGGAGCCGGTGGGAGGGAGGAAGGGGGCGGGGCGAAGGAGAGTGTGTGTGAAGAGGAAAGGGAGGCGGAACATAGATGCATTCAGGGGAAAGAAATAGAAGAGGAGCCAACATTGCAGCCTTCTAGGGGCTTCCGGGTTCACTTTTGTAGGGACGTTCCCTATGGAAAGGAGGTCCGGGAGAAAGCTCAGATTTTCTATTCTTTGTCCCATGGCGTTCTCGGCCCAGATCTTGGAGGCGTTGCTCTTTCTGGACTACAATTCCCATCCTTTTCTAGCCAGCGTTGTAAATAAATGCACCTAAGGCTCACGTCGGGGGTGGGGAGATGAAATTTTCGGGGTTGTAGTAAAAAATAAAATTAAAAAAAGGAACTTTCCTCCCTTCTCTCGGAAGCTCGTCTCCGCCAGGTCAACATGTAAGGTAGTGAAGGAGTTCTAAACCTCGCGACAAAATGGGTTGCAGTACTCTTTTATTTCTGTCTCTAGGGTTTCGTCGGGAAAGGGAGGGGGAGGAGCGAAAAACGCTCCCTCGAACCAACAAGTTGGGAATCCGCAGGAAAGAGCGGCCCTGGCCTCGTCTGACTTGCCCAGAGAGGCGAATGGAACAGCGGCCCCTAGCGGCTCCAACGTGCTACCTGTCACCCTGTGGTTTTTCCCACCATTGAAACACATCTGTCCCTTCTTATAAGAAGCCAATTATTATCTTATATGGTGCCTATGTCTCTACCCTGTAAAGCAAGCCCAATTCCTTTTGAAGCTAGTGCTGGGGCATAAATAATAAACGACTGACAAAAACGTGACTATTCTCTACCTTTTGACTCCCACCCCTGATCTTGATAGATGCCTTTCCACCCACCTTTCTGAGGAATTCTTGTCTCTGGGGTAGGATCCCAGCATCTTAATAGGGCCTGGCCATTTTAAAGCCAAATCAGTCATTCAGCAAAGAATCTGGGACACAGCACTGCAAGAACCGTCCCATTGGGTGGCTTTAGATTAGGCATCCTTCAGTCTCGAGAGACTATGGTATCGTGCTCTGAATAGAGGACCTGGAGCATCATCTAGTGTGGCTGAGGAGGCCACTAAATAATATAATAATATCACATCACCTTAGAACTGCAGAGCTGGAAGGGACCCCATAGATTATCAAGTGCAGCCCCTGTCAAGGAGGGACCGTGGGGAATCAAACTCCCAACCTCTGGCTCTGCAGCCACAGACCTAAACCGCAGGGGTATCCTGCAGTGTTGTAAGCAATAATGATGCTGGCTGGATAGTTCAGTGTGTTAGGAGCCAGAGGTTGGGAGTTTGATTCCCCATTGTGTCTCCCAGGAGAAAAGCCAGCCTGGGTAGAACGGTGAAGGCTTCTTGGAGGTGTAGTCCAAGAACATCTGGAGGCCCAAGGTTGGGGACCACTGCTCTAGAGGAAGGGAAGGGGAAACCCCTGCGTATTCTCTACCTACAAAAACCCTTGAAAACCCCTTCTGTGTATTCTCTACCTACAAAAACCCTTGAAAAGGGCCATCATGAGTCAGAATGGACTTGATGACAGATTATGAAGCAATAACATAACATTTCCCCAAGTCGGAAGAGCTTTACGTCTGCCCGATTTAATGTTTTTCCTTTTCTCTTGAAAGGGAATACCATGGAATATTCATGTCCCCATGATAAAACTGGAAACCCTCAAGAACGTCTCTCTCTGATCAGGAACCCACACCGCCCTCATTGAAAAGTGGGTGGATTTTGTGCAGCTGCCAGAGTTTGCTGCAGTTTAGTACTAAGACGGTAATTCCTCACCCCCTATTTTGGAGACTTCTTACATAAACCTTATGGTGCTGTATAGACGTAGTGCTTGGCGTAAGACACATTGCGTATTTCTGTTCAGCTCTGTATTGTATTATTTGCTTAAGGCTGCTCTTTGACTGTAATAAAATAAAGGAAGTAGACATACAGTTGTTCAAGATTTTGAAATCCTAAGTCCCTATCACAATATACCAAATTAGTATTTTATTGTGCTCTGCACTCATCAAATTAAGAACACAGGAAGGAACAGTGACATTATGCATAAAGGTGTCAACCATTGAGAATATGTGGCCCGCTGGATGTGGATGAACTGTGATTCCTATCACCCATATCTGTGCTGGTCAGGACTAACAAGCATGACAGATGTCTTTGCACCATTACAGACAATGTGAACAGCCATTAGCCATGGCAGTCTACCTTGTTATGTGCCAATAGAGAAAGATCCCATTGAACAGCAGTTGACTGTTGCCTTCACGTTCTGTTTGTAGAACTTCTTCCTGACCCTCGGGGAAAGTTATCGACATTATGCATAAAGGTATCAACCATTGAGAATATGGTTGATACAGCAGTTGACTGTTGCCTTCATGTTCTGTTTGTATAACTTCTTCCTGACCCTCGGGGAAAGTTATTATTCTATTTTTGTCTACAAATCACAGAATCTCACATCTGGCACAAGCATTCTGAGCACAATCCAAGAGAACTGTTGGGCAGCTCTGTGGTTCGATTATCTGGTGGTGGAGCCAGAAGTTGGGAGTAACTGTTGGGCAGCTCCGTGGTTTGATTATCTGGCGGTGGAGCCAGAAGTTGGGAGTTTGATTCCCCCCACGGTCCCTCTTTGACAGGGGTTGGACTGGATGACCCACGGGGTCCCTTCCAGCTCCGTACAAGTTCTAAGATTAGTATTATTACTGCTCTTTTTTAAAAAAAAGTTTCCTCTTTCATTATATTAATGGACAGGGATGTACATGACTATACAGCAGACAGTTTCTGTGGTGATTTTCATCAGGTTGTAAAATTCTCCTTTCAAGAGCATCTAGGCTTGGCCCTCTTTCCTGCTGTCCTGCCCCTGGCAAAGTCCATTTCAGTAGGGATTAACACTGGGTTCAGGCTTTGTGATTTTATCCTTACCTTTTCAGTTAATCTTCTCGTAAGCTGCCTCTGAGGCCCAGAGCTTTGGGGGAAAGGTGGAAAGTAAATCGAAGGAAGGAAGGAAGGAAGGAAGGAAGAGAAAGAAAGAAAGAAAGAAAGAGAGAGAGAGAGAGGAAGGAAGGAAGAAAGGGAGAAAGAAAAAGAAAGAGAGAGAGAGGAAGGAAGGAAGGAAGGAAGGAAGGAAGGAAGGAAGGAAGGAAGGAAGGAAGGAAGGAAGGAAGGAAGAAAGGAAAGAGAGAGAGAGAGAGAGGAAGGAAGGAAGGAAGGGAGAAAGAAAAAGAAAGAGAGAGAGGAAAGAAGGAAGGAAGGAAGGAAAGAAAGAAAGAAAGAAGAGAAGGAAGGAAGGAAGGAAGAAAGAAAGGAAGGAAGGAAGGAAGGAAGGAAGAAAGAAAATTAATGATTGTTAGAGATGTAAACGTCAAGATGTTCAATACCTATCCAAACCAAAATGTTGCTTTCCCCAATATACTGACTTCCTTTCAAACGAAACAGAGCAGGAATTTACTGTAGCAGGAATCTATACATTTTTAATATCACAGTGTTGACAGCTAACATGGGCCTTGATCTGTTTGTCAATGCTGGGAGTTTGTGTGAGTCCAAATCCTGGCTTTCATTGGACAGGAACATAACAAGGCAAGAGGCGCTCAGACGCTAGAGGACATTTCTTTGCTGCGATGCTCCTTTCCCCCCCCCTCCCCGTCTCAGACTTCGCTTCACAGGAGAGATGGCTAAGATCACACATCGATTTTTGTTTAGAACAAGTGTTTATTGATCTGTACCGGACAGGTAATGAGAACTGGCGTCTCTCTGAGCGGCGAAAGGTGTTTCAAGGTGCAGAGTTCTTTAACACATCAGGAGGAAGGCCTGCTTCGTAGAAAGACGTGACGCGTTGTTTGATGAAGTTTGCTCTTGACTATGAAAGTTTTGGCGGCAGGAGCTCGTGGTGGTGCATTCCTGCTACGTTATGCATTCAGGAGGCAGGAAAAGATGGAGAACCAACACAGCTAGAGGCTTGCTTGAAGTTCCTGAGTGGCAGAACAGATTAGCTACTTTCCCGTTCCTACAAGGCCACGTCCACCTCTAGGTTTAAGAGAAAAACCTTCACACAGTCCCTGATACTGTGCTACCCAGTTTTTCTCTTTTGGTCTGTGTTTGTTCACTGGTGTCATTGTCACTGTGTACCATCAAGTCAATTTTGACTTATGGTGACCCTTTTCAGATTTTCCAGGTAGGCAATACTTAGATGTGATTTCCTTATCCTGGGGTCATCCAGGGACTGTGCAGCTTGCCCAAGGCCACACAGGCTGGCTCTACTTGCAAGAGGAGCAGTGGGGAATCGAACTCCCAACCTTCGGCTCCACAGCCAGACATCTAACTCATAGCCCTCAATGGGATTCCCATTCTACTCTTTGGGAGGCATTTTCAAGAAAAAAAAGAGTTTGTCCAGGGATTTCTAGTTGTTTCAAGTCCATTTCTTCAAGGAAAGAGGAGAAAAATGTTTATTGATTTTTAAAGAAAGTCCTTATAATGCTCTGATTTGAATAAACTTTTCTTTTTTTATATCTCCAGTATCAAACAATTTTAGGTACTTGCTCACTCCACAGTTTTTGTGTTGACTGCTTATTTGCAAATGAATATTTCTGGGGTGGGTGTATGTGTGTGTGTGTTTAAGTTCCCTAAGGATAGTTAGGACAAGTCTGTGAGTAGTTTATAGGATGCAGGAATGATTTTCCAACCCATCGGTTCAGAATGAAGGCTGACAATGTGCATTTTTAACCAGTGATGTCTGTCAAATAGCATTAAATCCACCCAACAAAGGAATGACAGCTTTGTCTCCATCACTGGGTTCTGTCTATTTGGGTTTTTTTTAAGTTCCCTAAGGATAGTTAGGACAAGTCTGTGAGTAGTTTATAGGATGCAGGAATGATTTTCCAACCCATCGGTTCAGAATGAAGGCTGACAATGTGCATTTTTAACCAGTGATGTCTGTCAAATAGCATTAAATCCACCCA